AGATTGAACGAAAATGGTGGTTCTGAGACTGGTTTGCATTCATTTTGACCTTTGCTACAGTGAACCGAGTCCTGGTCGCCTCGCCTTGTCTGGGAAGGGGAGAATGGTAGCACTTGTCTTGGTGTTACCTGCCACATCACCGTCTCATTTCTGAGAAGCACACCCAAGTATTAAAATGGGGAAACTGCTATTTCCTTTGATAGCATTCCAGTCGAGATGACCAGAAAGGGAACCGAAATCACTTTCATGCACTTGCATGATACGCGAGCGGCACGGCCAATTCCTGAACTGATGCTTAAGGGCCTCGCCTACAGTAATTCAGCCCCCCGATTTAGTTTTGATAATTGATGCGACTCAGGTTGAACACGCTATTTATTGTTAATGTCATAAGCGCGGTCCCAGGTGGAAATATGCCTTTGGATTTTCGTGTTTATTGCTGTATAGCTGTTTGGCTATATTATAAGTACTTGTAGTTTCTAATGTAGGGTAGAATGTCTGGAAAGGTGGTATCCCCGTGGGCTGTGATAACCTCAGAAAATCAGTATCATTCTGAAAGGCCAAGCCAGAAGATGCCACATTAAAAAAAAATATACACACATACACACACATACACACATATATTTATGTATATTTATATGTTTATTAACCTCAGAGTTACTCTGAAAATCCATAGTACAGCTTAGGGAATCCTAGTTTGGCCAAAGGGTTTTTGTGAGGTTTGCCTCGGCTCTCCCCTTGAAGAGCTTCTGAACTAGGGTTCAGAATCCTGTTTCAGGTGGTAACTGAAGCCCTTGTCAGGTGAAGTCACTATTTCTTGCCAAATTTTGAGATTACAGTCAGGAGACTTAAAAGTAATTTGGTATGGGGTGAATGAAGAGCAGGTGTCTCAAAGCTGTTTAGCTGGAAATTTAAGAATTTTGGTTTGTTCTCTGCAAGTTTTACTTACCTTCGGTTACTCTTGAGGTAATGAAGATACTTTCTCCTTTGAAACAAACCCTCAGCCCACTGCCGGCTCTCCTATGTCTTAGTGATCACCAGGGCCCCGAACAATGACAGTAATGAGATTAAGAGTGCACAGATAGGGGGCTGAGTCTCTCAGGCTGGTTTGTCTGGCTTCTTATCTTCAGATAAATCAAATTAGCTTCTTTCTTGAGTCTTTTACTTTAAATTCAATTGAAGGAAGTGAAACTTGGGAACTTGCATCCACCTGGTTATTGTGTATTTGGAAGGGGTCCTAGAGGGGGGCAGGTAAGGAAGAGTTGTGGTTGCCCCACCTGCCTGAGCCTCTCAGCCAAGTGGACAGTGGAGGTGCCCCGGGCCCACCCTCTGCCATAAAAGGCGCTGTCCAATGCCTCCTGGGCCCAAGCTGACTCTCCAGGACATTTTTTAACGAAATAATATTAATCTTCCTGAGATGAGTTCTGGTTAATACTGTCTCTCTCTCACCCCCTTACAATTTTTTTAGTTGTAAAAAACGCGTAAGATTTACTCTCAGCTGTATTTAAATGTACACTTCAGTTCACTTAACAGAAATACATTCTTGTGCACCCACACCACCATCTGGCTGCAGAGTGCAGAATGAAGCTCTGCACTTGGTAAACACTAATTCCCCAAGCCCTCCCCTAGCTCCGACAGTTACTGTTCACTCCCTATGAGTTAGTTGCTCTGGGTACCTCATGTAAGTAGAGTCACACAGTGTTTGTCTTTATGTGCCTGGCTTATTTCACTTAACATCATGTCCTAAAGGTTCATCCATGTTGTAGCATGAAATTTCCTTCCCTTTTAAGGCTGAGTAATATTCCATTGCATGGACAGACCACATTTTGTTTATCCATTCATCCGTCGATGGACACTTGGGTAGTTTCCAGCTTCTGGCTATTGTGGACAGTGCTGCTGTGAACATGAGTGCGCCAGTATCCCTTCGAGACCTTGTTTCCGGTTCTTCTGGATGTATACCCAGAAGTGGAGTTGCTGGACCATAAGATAATTCTATGTTTAATTTTTGGAGGAACCGCCATGCTGTGTTCTTAAGCCCTGAGCCATTGTGCGTTCCTACCAACAGTATGCCTGGGTTCCGGGTTCTTCACGTTCTTGTGAGCATTTGTTTTTTCTGTCTTTTTAGATAGTAGCCATCTATCTAAAATTGGATGAGGTGGTAGTAGTAACCTCCCTTTTAATAAATTCTCAGGGCTCAGGTAAGGCAGCCCCAGGTTACTTATGTTGAGGACACTTCTTAGGAGCATATTCACTGGGTGGGCCATGACCGTGTCATTTGTTAAGAATTGCGGAACAGATTTCCTGCTTCCAAATGGAGGTATTTTCAGATTTGCAAATAAACTATTCAAGAGAGGGGCTAGCTAAAGGTACCAAAGCAACTTCTGGTTATTTATGGTAGGAATACTATCCCAGGCTAGCCCTGTGGCATGTGTAAAGGGAAGATCACAGGACTGGAAGTCTGGAAATCTGAGTACATGGCGGGAGCCCAGCCTAAGTCACTCCCCATTTCTGGGCTTATTTCATTAAAATGAGGATGTTGGAGCAATAACTCAGTCAGGATCTTGCCAGCATTGCAATTCTCAGATTCTGCATGATAACCTTGAATTTGCTCACTGAAAAGGGGGAGAGATGCTGTTTTTGAGGACAAGAGAGCAGAGCTGCGTTCAGAAAGGTGTCCTTTCAGTTGCTAAGAATTAAGGAGTGTGGCCTTTATCCCTGAGCCATCAGAGCTGGAATTGAACCTTGCAGGTCACCTAGGCTGATGTCCTCCCTTTACAGATGATAAGCTAGGATGCAGAGATGTAACACCGTCCAGTTAAGACCTTTCTCTTTCTTATGAATAAAAAATGTTGGCCAGGGGGTCCTGAGCTGTGTTTCAGCACCAGTGGCGCTGGCATGGGCTCGGGACCCCACTGCTGGGGAGGAGGTGATGTGTCATCTCTTGACTTATCCCTTTGCTTCCTTTCAGTCTCTCAGCACCATCAACAACCACCAGTCAGTCTCCCCGCCTTCTGTCTTTTCTTGCCAGTCTTCTCTGCATTATTATTACTGCCATGCTTTTTCTAAATCATGGATTGGTTTTTTGTTCTCAAGCTCCAATGGCTTCACGTTGCTACATAGCAACATCCGGATCTCCTGGCATGGCTCAGACCCTCCTTTCAGACCCTCCTTCCTGCCCCGCCTGTTCTGTGCTGAGGGCCCAGCCCCTCCTTGTGGCTCTGCACACACCTCCTGCCGTGCCCCTCACCTTCCAGCTGTAAGCCTGCTGAGTGCCAGCATTCTCTCTTTCGCAGGTCAGAGCTCACTTAGTGTTCACTTAAAACAGGCACAGCCATGACCACATGTATTTTGGTTCCTTGTGTTTTACTTCTCTCCCCTTTGTGAACCTGAGAGTCCCTTCGGGGATGGGGACTGTGTCTTTATCTCTGTGTCCCCAGCACCAGAGCTGGGCAGACAAGCTGATGTGGAGCATGAATATCCCCTGGAATGGTTGGGGGTCAGACAACCTGGTAAAGGTCAGGATGGAGACTGTTCAAATGAAAGTTATTTTTTTTTTTAAGTAAATATGGTCATTTTTCCCCCCAGCAAGTATTATTATTATTTTTTATATGGGTTGGTCCACAGCTTTATTACTTATCTATTGCTATTTAACAGATTACTCTCAAATGCCACAAATTAACATAACAATGAGCATCATGATATCTCACAGTTTCAATGGTTAGTTATTTGGGAGCAGCTTGACTGAGTATTTCTGGCTCAGGTTCTCTCCCGAGGGTGCTGTCAAGGTGTTGGTCACAGCCGGGGTATCTTATGCTAATGGAAGCTAAGGATCCACCCCAAGGTGGCTTGCTCACCGGAATACCAAGTCGGTGACGGCTCTTATCAGGAACTTGTTCTGCACGTGGGACCCTTCCAGGTCTGCTTTGGTGTCATCACATCACTGTGGCTGATTCTCCCCATTGGGGAATTTTGAATCATGGTGGCAAAACTCTATTTTAATTTGGTCAGATGGCCCTCAAAGAACAGGAGATTCTGGAACCTTCTCGCTCTAACCTAATTTTATCTCATAATATTCCCACTTTACTGGGAGTGAGTCCCTAAAGAAATCTGCAGACATTGGAATGAAACTGTCGGTGGGAATGTAGATTGATGCAGCCACCGTGGAAAACAGTATGGAGATTCTTCAAAAACTTAAGAATAGATCTGTCATGTGACCCAGCGTTACCACTTCTGGTTACTTACCTATCATATTCTCTCTCTGCTTCAGTTCTCCGACTGACTAACTTATTGTACCACATTTTGCATATCTCGGAAGTCTGTTTCAGGTCATCGTTAGAAAGGGATGTTATAGTGAACAAACAACATCTTGACTAATTAAAACAGCAGTAGAGAGCCAGGAGTCCCATTTAAAATACTCTTGGCTTGGTGGTTCCCAAGTTTTCCCCTCTCCAGCCTGTGGCACCCTCCGTCCCCCTCACCTTCCTGGGGCGCTGGCGGCCCGCCCTTCCTCCGCCGGGGTCACTGGGGATAGGTGCTCTGCCCCGGACGCCCGCGCCCCCAACAAGTATTATTAAGTAGTTACTCTATTTGGCATGATGGGGGGTATACGAAGAGGGATGAAATACAGTCTCTTTTCTCAAGAGTCTTAAGATTTACTCTGTTGAGGCTGCGTATGATGACAGAGCAAGGCCAGGTGGCCAGAGCCGTCAGGATGCTGTGAACAAGTGCTGTGGAGCTTAGAGGGGACAAGCCCAGTGCTGAATGAGGTCAGGCTTCCTCGGGTCGCCGGGGTGGAGGTTGGTGGGCTTGCTCTTTGGTGGGGGTGAGGGGGGTGGGGGTGTTGCTGACTCATTCCAGTGGAACGTGGCCTGAGCCAGCTGTGCAAGTCGGTTGTGTAATACATGTGTTTGAGACGACGAGTCCATTTTGACTGGCTGTGAAGAGATGGCCTTCTGCAAATTAAATGTGTGTCTGTGTGTTTTGTTTGTGTCTCTGTTTTCTAGGCTCAGACCATGAATTACGTCGGGCAATTGGCCGGCCAGGTGTTTGTCACTGTGAAGGAGCTCTACAAGGGGTTGAATCCTGCCACCCTGTCCGGATGTATCGATATCATTGTTGTCCGCCAGCCCAACGGGAGCCTTCAGTGCTCCCCTTTCCACGTCCGCTTTGGGAAAATGGGGGTCCTGCGCTCTCGGGAGAAAGTGGTAAGAGTGTAAGACCCCGTGACCTGGGGATGGGTTCTCTCCATAGAGAACATCATGATGGTTTTGTGGCTCCACATACGAAGAGCTTCCTGCCAACCCAGAGTTTTTGCTCTCCATTGGAAAGGCATGTTGGCTGAGCTAACAAGTACTGAATCAGATTTTCTGGTTACTATGGGTGTGTGAATTACTCTAAAATTTAGTGACATTAACCAACTATAGTTAAGCTTATGGGTTCTGTGGGTCAGGAGTTGATCGAAGTACAGGAGGGCTGGCTTGTCTCTGCTCTCTGCCACCTGCGGCCTCAGGGCTGGGGCTGGAATCCTCTGAAGATGCACTTGCCAACTTGGCAGGTGGCTTTTGGCTGGGCTCTGAGCTGAGGCTGTTGGCCAGAGTGCCTTCACATGGCCTCTTGTGTGGCCCAGGTGTCCTCACAGCATGGTGGCTGGCTACAAAGGTGAGCATCTCCTGAGTAAGGGAGCCAGGGGGGTGCTGGGTCTTTTTCTGACTTAGCTTTGGAAGTCACCTAGTGTCACTTCTATTATGCTCTACCTGTGGGGCAGTCACAAGCCTTCCCAGGCTCAGGGTCAGGATGGGGTGGGGAATAGGGGAATAGACTCCATTTCTCGATGGGGAAGAGCATGTAAGATGGGATTGACTGACTGAGGATTGGAATTGTGAGATATTTGGGATGTAGGTGGTTAAAATGTTTATGTAGAAACATGGCCACTCTCCATGAGGTTTCCTATTGTGGTAAAGTGTTTTTTTTCCTTCAGGTTGACATAGAAATCAATGGGGAATCTGTGGATTTGCACATGAAATTGGGAGATAATGGAGAAGCTTTTTTTGTTCAAGAGACAGATAATGATCAGGTAAGGAAGGCTGGATGGTCAGGGTTACTTCCTGGTGTTGAGCTGTGAGCCCTGCTTATCTGAGACACAGCAGAAGTTTGTGTGCAGTAGTCTGGGGGCCTGGCGGTGTGGACCATGGCAGTGGAGAACAGTGGATGCTTATGTGCACGAGGGATTTGAGCCAGAGAGCAGTGTATGTGTGTGTGGGGGGCATGTGGGTGTGTGCTGTGCCCAATCCTGGCCTGCCCCAGTTTGCTCACTGTTTCCAGGGAGACACATTGGCCTGAACCATTGTCCAGAGTATACAGATTATACTGGTGTGTCGGATCTGAGATGGCTGAATGTTCTAATTTTTGTTTAGTGAGTGATCAAAGCACTTTTATATTTTGTTATTTTAAAACTTTTAACAGCTCTATTAAGACATAATTTTCCTACCACTCAATTTACCCATTTCAAGTGTATGACTGTGTGATTTTCAGTATTTTCAAAAGATGTGTGCAACTATCATCCCAGGCAATTTTAGAACATTTTCATTGATCCAAGAATAAACTGTACCCTTTAGTTATCACCTCCCTTCTCCCCAAGTCCCCATCTTCCACCCCCCTGGACCCTAAGCAACCACTCTTCTACTTTCTATCTCTCTTGATGTCACTAGTCTTACCTTTCATGGGAACGAAATCATGTAGTATGTGGTCTTTTATGTGCGGCTTCTTTCACTTAGTATAATGTTCTCAAGGTTCACCCATGTTGTAGCATGTAGCCTTGTTACGGCAGAATAATATTCCATTGTATCCATACCACATTTTGTTTATCCTTTCATGTATTGATGGATTATCCTTTCATGTACTGATGGTTGTTTCCACCGTTTGGCTGTTGTGAATAATGCTGCTATGGACATTCATGTACAAGTGTTTGTGTGGACTTGTTTTTATTTTTCTTGGGTAGAACCTGGGAGCAGAATTGCTGGGTCTTATTAACTCTCTGTTTAACATTTGAGGAGCTGCCAGACTGTTGTTCTAAGCTGCTGCACTGTTTTGCATTCCCACCAGCAGTGCACAGGAGTTCTCATTTGCTCACATCCTCATCAGTACATTGTGTTCTCTGACTTTGTGAGTCTAACCATCCTGGTGGCTGTGAAGTGGTATCTTGTTATGGTATGATTTTAAATTTCTGTAATGACTAATGGTGTTGAAGATCTTTTCATGTGCTTCTTGGCTGTTTGTATATATTCTTTAGAGAAATGTCTTTTCAGATCTTTTGCTTGTTTTTTAATTGGGTTTTTGTCTTTTTATTATTGAGTTACAAGAGTTCATTGTATGTATTTTCTGCTTTCTTGATGGTGTTCTTTGAAGCACAAAAGTTTTAAATTTCGATGAAGTCCAGTTTACTTATTTTTTTGCTTTCGTTGCTTGTCTTTTGATGTCATCTCTAAGAATCCTTTGCCAATTCCATGGTCATGATGATTTACCATTTTTTTACTCTTCCATTCATTTAGAGAATCATTTTGAAGGGATCCTATGGAGTGATTCCTCAATAAAATCCACTTGAACTTTTTCCTTCATAGGAAGATAGCTTGATTAAAAAGGAACGGCTCTAGATAGCTTCAGGCTCTAAAATGATGCCCATAGCTTCACTTTTGGGACAAAACCATCCCAGGCTCTGCTTCCTTCTGGTCTGCTCAAAGGTGTGACATAAGAGGAGGACCAGCGTCTTCATCCTATACCTGCTGTCTTTTGTTAATTGCTCCTTAAAACCAAACTAACCAGACTCTTTTTTGAAATATTTTCTGTCCTTTAGGAAGTGATCCCCATGCACCTGGCAACCTCCCCTATCCTGTCGGAAGGAGCCTCGCGGATGGAGTGCCAGCTGAAAAGGAATTCTATAGATAGGATAAGAAGCCTCGACCCCAGTGCCTCAGCCCAAGTCTTACCTCCCAGTGAGACCCCTTCAAGTGGCTCTTTAGTGAAGAAGAGAAGAAAAAGGAGGAGAAAGTCCCAGCTAGACAGCCTGAAAAGAGATGACAACACGAACACATCTGAAGATGAAGACATGTTTCCCCTCGAGATGAGCTCGGATGAGGAGACAGAGCCGCCGGACAGCAGTGGGTAAGTATGAATGAAAGGCCCATTGGTGTTAGATCTGGCCACACTGATTTTTTTTTAAAGTAGATTCTTACAAACTTTTTCCCCCAGATGTTCTTATTCTTCTGTTAATAAATTTTAGACTGCGTTTTGGAATCCTGTGAACCCAGTCTTAAAGTAACATAAAGATTTGAGGTTGCTTATAACTGGGAGACAGTGGGTAATGCCAGACCTCCCGGGCTGATACCTTCCACATTCCAGGAGAGAGCTGAGAAATAAGAACGGAGTGAAGGAAAACTTCACGCATGAGATTGTTGTTTCAGAATCTTCTTTTATGGGCACCAACTGTGTACCTGACAGGCAGGCTGATCTGTGATAGACTCGGGGTTACAAGTGGTCGCAGAACATGACCAGTTTTGTCTATCAGCCAGCTCTTCCTTTTCAATTCTGATTAGGCTCAAAGCTTACTGGCCATCTTGTTCTATTTTTCTTTGCTTTTAACAGGGGCATGAAATTCTGTTACTGTGTATTATTATTTTGGTGAAAAATGCCAGTCTTTAAAGACAAAACTAATTTATAAAGAATATTTGATGTTTCAGATTTTTATGTACTTCTGTATAATTTCGGATAATTGTTTTTATATCTTGTTAACATGAAGAAGGGATCGGAAAACCAGGGATATCTCCCCGTGTCACTATTCAGAAGAGAATATTTTATTTTCCTGGCTAAAAATAGGGGCAAATTGACAATATCACTTTTCCTAATTCTAGCCTCTTATCTGCTGTAGTCTGGGAAACTGGGTGGTTGCCTCCCCTGCATGGCTTTTAATTCTGGAACTAAGTGATAAATATTTTAGGCAATACTGAAACTGCGGACAGATGGCCTCGGCATGGGTGAAACAGTGAATCGTATTTTGTAATAAATGTGCTATACCTGAAATGAGGTAGATTTGCAATCATTTTTAACTTGTAAATCACAAAGAGTATAACTTATAAATTTATAAGTTTATGAATTAAAATCATAAATGATAAAATACATATTTGGTTTATATCATAGATTTTTCTTTCTGCTTGATGAAACGTTACCTGCGTATGGTCACTGGGTTATTCAGCAGCTCTACCCATGCGTGGTGAGAGTTTTATAACTTTGTGACTGGGTCCAGTTTTGGGGCCCCTCTACCCTGAACAAGCAGTGGAGCATGTGCATGTGAGCAAAAGAACTTTACATTCATAGTTCAGCCAAAGCATAAACCGTTCACATTCTTCATGTTAAACACATTTTATGTGTCTGTATCTCACTTTTTTCCTCCCCACTGCCTGGAATGTCTGTGGGTGGTTTAAAAAGAGATCATGTTAATCTACAAAGCACTTAAGAGGTAACCAAGAAAAATGGAGACTTGCTTATTATGAATCGATCGCTTCTGCTTATGTGACTTCGACTTTTGTTTCTTCCAGAACTCTCTCTGATGATATACCTCCATTCCACGCCGGTCCCCAGGAAGACCCTTCCTTGGTCGTGACCTACCCTCAGTCAGCATCATACCCTAATTCTGATAGAGAGTGGTCGCCTAACGTGAGGTACGTTGCTGCTGTGTGTGTGTGTGTTCACCTGTCCTGTCCAGAGGGTTCGAAGTTAGTTACAGGAAGTGTGTTTAATAAAATAGTGAAACATAAATGAAAAGTGAAAATAATCGGGACCAGAAAAATGCCCCTTAAGAGTGGGAGGTACACAGATCAGGAGGAAAAACAGACAGGCGCAGATCATGAACTTCTATCTAATGTCATGATGGAATTGTAGATTTGGCTCAGCTCTTGGAAGTGACATTGAAAGGAAAACCACTGTTACATAATGTTGATTGTCAACAAGACAAAACAGGTGGCTGAGCCTTTCTTGACACTAAGCCCGAAAGTAAGATTCGAGAACAGAGACGGTGCTTCGGGCGCCACTGAGGTCATTCAGGGCTGCTGGAATGGCGCCTTCTCCCCATGCTTGGTCTGTTCTGCTGAATTCAAGAGTATTCATTTCCTTGAAATGAACTCTCAAGTTGTCCTGTGCTTCCAGTATAAATGTGGAGAAGCATGGCTTCTCAGCCTGCGGATTGCTGAGACTTTAGGGCAGTGAAACTTAGGATAGTATGTGAGACTTCTGAGCCCTTTTCAGAACTGGGGAGGGGACAGATTCAAGTCATGCTTTCTCAACAGGGATGATATGACCCCCATCGGGACAAAAACTGGTTCTTGTGCATTAAGATATTGTAATGGTGTGTGGCCTGTAAAGGCCCAAGCAACGTAAACAGATACACAGCATATCCATGGCTTTACAATGTCATGATGAAGGGAAAAGGTGTCTCAAAATGCTGGAGGGTGTGGAGGCAAAAAGAGGTTGAGAAACACTCATCTAAGTGACAGTGACATCCTTGGATTATCCTTGTCCCGATGTGTTAGGTAAACTTCCAGCTTGAAATGTAAGTGCAGGAGCCCTGGCAGCCCTGGCATATGCTGTAAAGGCTTCCTCCCTAAAGCCAGGCTCGTCTAAATACCATCGCTGGTTCCAGTTTGCCCAGAGTGACCTTGTTAATGGCAGAGCTCGGCCAGAAGCGGGCACTGACGTTGAGGTCAGAGAAGAACAGACATGTCACACACCTGGTTTGTAGCCAGAACTGTGACAGTGAATGTCATCTTGCCAGGGTTGGGCTGGGGCTTGTGCTGCCCCTCACTGAGGTCTGTCCAGACCAGCCCTGTGCAATAGAAACAACACTAGCTACATAGGTCAGTTAGAATTTTCTAGTAGTCATTCTTAAACAGTAAAACGAAACTAATGGAATTAGTTTTGATGATATATTTCATTTGACCCAGCATATCCACAATTTTACCATTTCGAGTATCAGTTTTAAAAAAAATTATTAATATTTCACATACTAGATTTTATACTTAAGTCTTTAAAATTGTCATGTCTTTCACATGTACAGACCATCTCAGTTTGGACTAGTTACATTTGAAGTCATGTGCAGCTGGTGGTTGTCATAGGGGACAGTGCAGATGTAAGACCTTTCTAGAACCTCATACATTCTGTCCCTAGGTTTGTGGAGATAAACCCTCAAGAAGGAAAATCACAGTACTTTAGGAAGAAAATTATGTGGAGTAGTTAGAAAACACTAATAGGTTGAAAAATCTGTTCAAACTCTACATTAATTTTAAGATTAAAAAAATATTTTAAACATAGCCCTGAATGTTTCTCTGTCTTTCATATCTTGCTCTATGAATCCAGAATAATGGCCATGTCAGACTGCATGGGTCTGGTTGGTGTCAAATGCGATCACAAATTAGGACCAGCAGATCCATCTCCATGCTTGGAATTACACATTCTCTCTAAAGGGACAATTGGCAGCACAAATTACCAAATCTTTGGAGGATACAGTTTGATTAAGCACTAAATTCTGACTGGAAAAAACAGTCTTTTATGGGCATGTGGACAAAAGAGAAAGTGAAATGGGTACTTTGGCAGTTTCTCGTTCTTGTGGTTCAAAAAATGCCCGTTGATTTCTTAGTGATTTCAACAGTGGCCCCTCTCTTGCCAGATGCCTGAGTAAGTTCAGTTTCTCATAAATGCTGTTATTGAGCGTAGTCAAGTAACTTACATGAAATTTCATTCAATTGACATATGATTTCTCTTTCTTTTAATGTACATCACATGGTCTCCAGTAGCCTGATAGATTGGGAAAGGACCTCCTCTCATCGGGCAGTTGCAGCCGAGGGAGGACTTTCTAGTTCTTGCCCTCCACAGCCTTCCCACTCCCACGCTCCAGAAAGGTAGAGCGGTTACTTGGATAATGACAGTTTTGATCTAACTCTCACAAATCTGTTCTATTCACCAAATTACTTATGCAGAAAATACCTGTGGATTCTATGGAGTGGAAATTTTGATCTAACTCTCATCTGTTTTTCTAACTAACCAAATTACTTACAAATAAAATACATATACATTATTATTTTCCTTCCATTTTAAGCATTTGCAGATTAGACTTTTTAAGTACTAAATCTCACCCTCTGGAAATTGTAGTTAAGCAAATAATTCTTCCTAATTTTGTGGAGTGCTTTGAAAAATAGAATAATGAAATAAAATTTCATATGTCCAGAGTTGTTCAACAAGTGAGTTTACAAAATAGTTTTTAGGGTGTCCCTGTAGGATGAGGGGAGTTATTATCCTAACTCTTTAAACGGCTAATTGGGTTTCCTGAATAACAGAACTGGAGGTTTCCATAGCATTTCTAGAATAAAATTTTGGGGGAGGGTGTGGAGTGTGTTTTCAGACTGAGGGTCATAGGCTTGCCTCTCCATCTGATGCAGGGATCTTAGGTCTCCGCCCTGTCCTCTCAGTGTTGCCTGCATTTTGGCACACCTCCTTTGTGGACTTTTGTGGTTCACTTTATAAACTTTAACAAATGTAGCTGTAATTAATTTCTACATGGGAAACTTTTTCTTTTTGATATAACGAACCAAACCTCAGAATATACTTTATCCAGAGGTTACATGTGCAGAGGAAAGGCCATTTTAAAATGGGACAACTAAATTATGGGCCGTTAGGATGGATTTGCCCATTTGGGACTGGCAAAAAACTGAAAACTAGTGTGTGGCTAGTAAATGCATTATTGGTGAAAGTCAACCGTGACCTTGTAAGCTTACTTTTTAAAAGAACAACCCTAGACCTTATAAGTCTAGTATTTGATAATGGGAAGTTTTGGCATCGTCTTTCCCATCACTCACTCTCAGCACTGGGATTCTTCTCTCTAATTCACCTCCTGTCAGCCTGAATTCCTTCAGTGAGCCGCATGTGCACGTGTTTGCATGCAGAATCCTTCTGAGAGAGGCTGGTATGGCCTAAGTGGCCAGCACCTGTTGTGGCCTATCGAGTGTGTGAGGCAGGGCTTTCTGGTTTATGACTTTCACACAGGGCTTGGTTCTTTATGAGAATGAATTATAAACCTAATTGCCTCTGTGGAAACCCTTTGGCCTGTGGCTCAGAATGCCAGGGATTGTGGAGGTGGTGCTTCGGGAGAACTGTGTTGAGCATTTGCCTTCTTTTAGAGTAGGGGTTAGCAAACTACAGCCCATGGGCCGAATCCTGCCCACCAGCTGGTTTCTGAAGGCTTATGGGAAAACAGCCAGTTTGTTTATGTATTATCCATGGCTGCTTTTGTGCTACAACAACAGTCGAGTAGTTGCAACAAAGATTGCATAACCCACAAACCCTGAAATATTTGCTGTCTGGCCTTTTACAGAAAATGTTTGCTGGCCCCCTACTCCAGAGCAAGCTCAGTCTAAAGGGCTTTGACTTTGTTTAGTGCGGTGGGTAAGACAATTTATTGTTCCAAAGAATTTATAACAAAATGCAAATTATTTTTTATGTGATACAGTAGAACAGCAGCAGCTTTTTAAACAAATGACTTGAGGTCTAGGTGCAGCGCTCCTGGGGGTAGGAGGCCAATCACGATGGAGTTCTTCTGTGACGACTGTAGAGGAAGAATGGGCTCAGGTAGGGCTGTAGGTACACCAGAGGCCACAGCTCTCCCTCTGCACACTTCACTGTGACTGCAGAACTCGAGGGAGCAAGAGAGGTCGGAAGGCGATGAGCAACACTTGGATGGAGGGCGTGCTCCATATTCCCTCTCACGGGACTGCTTTCTAAAGGGCAGGGTGTGTGTGTGCGTGTGTGTTGGGAGAGGTATCCCACTGTACACATTCTCTACTGTCTCAGGATTCCCCTCACCACAGAGTAGACCCAGAGGCTGCACCGTAGCCACGTGCCACAGGATGGTTTGGTGGGCAGTGGGTGCCCACGGGGAGAAGGAGCCCGCCGTAGGCTCCTCAGTGTGAAATAAAGGAGAGTGTCTCTAGGCTGTTGGTCCAAAGGGTTGACTAAAGACGTCACAATAATTCATCCACGAAGGGTTCCTCTTTGATACAAGTTACATATTACTGTGAGCTCACCTTGTCCTGACAAGCTGGAGTTGAAATCCCCTCAAACAGATAAATAAGAGCAAACATGCCAATGAGAGATGGCTTAAGTGGCTGTTCAAATTCTGTGGAAGAAGATGCAAAAGGAAGCTTGTGGTGGCTTTATTCCCTGCTTTATTTAAAACTGTCATCTTAACACTAGAGGAAATGATGCAGGTGAAGAAAGACAAGGAATAATTAAGTGGCTATTTTTCCTCATCTGTATATTGTTTAGAATACTGTGAGAATTTTGTAGAGAAATTGGTTTCTCTGGGCCGGTTTCTCTGGCTGGACAGCAGAATAAGACTTTGTTCAGGGCTAACAAGTAGAAATATAAAAATGGAGAGATAAGAACACAGGTTACAACCAATTAAAAGCTGGCCCGAGAACTAAGCGCCATATGTTCTTGCAGAAAGAGCCTGGAAGGTCAGCTCAGAGACTTCTGCCATGTTAGCAAGTTTATTTGTGGCATCTAGCATTTGTGGCTAAGTTGGCACTTGATGCAATTTCCCTGTTTACAGAGCCAGTGCAGATTTAAAATATTTTGTAGGTAGAATACCATGGGTGCATGTCAGAGATGGCCAGGACCTTTTTGCAGCTGTCTGAGAGTTGAGAGACTTTATTTGGAAATTGAGAATTTCAGGAGAGGTGAGCTCAGCTGAGGTGGGGAAGATGGGTGATTTTGTGGTTAGAACAAACTACATTTTCCATTTCTTTCTTCATCTCTTTTTCAGTTTTCCCTTTTAAATGCCACTTCTCATCTTTACTTACTTGGATTTGGCAGTAGGTGGGACAGGCTACCCAAACTGGGAGCTTCGTCTACCTGGACATGTGTTTCCTGGGCCCCTGGTGATGTCTGATGGGGTGTGTCATGAAGCCATGCTTAGGAGGGAATGGCAGCCTGGTGCATTTTCTAGGCTATTTGAACCATGAAATTCTAGGCCAAAAACAATAAAGAAAACTTCTCTTTTCACTTCAGTCACGGATTTGTGTTTTCTTAAGTCCTTCAGTTTCCCGACCTTCAACACCTAAAAGTGATTCAGAATTGGTCAGTAAGCCCACGGATAGGACGATGCAGAAAAATAACCTAGAAATGCTCTGGCTTTGGGGAGAATTGCCACAAGCTGCAAAGGTAAGTTTTTCCACTCAATTCTGCTGCACACTGAAGTTAGTTCCAAATAACATGAAATGGACACTGTCAAGGAATTTTATTTCCTGTTCCTGTGTATTATAAGAATCTTGAATTATATTATTGCAGGCTGTGTTTTTTGCTTTGAGTTTTTCCTTTTAATATTGTAAGGCCTGTAGAAGATACTTTTGTGTCTTCAGTAAATGTTTGTGATGATGGATAAATGAATGAATGAATGAATGAAGGAGTGAGGCATGAAGACTGAAAGCTTTCCATAAAGAATCCAAATGTGGTAGATTTCATCCCCTTTCTAGGTTATATTTAGCTTTCATGGAAAATGCTGATTTCACTGCCCAAAAGCTGTAGTGTTGACCCAGCCAACCGTGTTTACAAATTCATGCCATTCGGTGCTGGAGAAACAGCGTGAAAGTGCAAACCCATCACTTCTTCCGGCAAAACCGTGCCAACCAGAGACCTGCTGTCACGTTCCCACTTGTGCTAGAAGCTGTGAGATAGGATACAGAAATGAGGATCCCCTCCCCCTTTCTAGCCCCTAAATTCCTTTTCAGTTTTCCTGGGATAAATCTTTTCTATAACTAGAAACTCCTCAGAGAGGTAGGATCAGAAATGTTACATTTCCACTCATGTGAATGAACCACCAAATCTCACTTACTCACTTATGCTTTTGGGGGTGAACTCCTGAAATACAATACACATAGAAGTGCCCAGATCATAAGCACGTACATCAGTAAATAGTTCATGCAACTTGCCCCCAGAGCAACAAGCAGGACTTCACCGGCAACCTGGAAGTGACCGCCGTTTAGTTATTCCTCAAACTGACCCTCCATAAAGGTAAGGACAATCTTGACTTGAGCGCAGATTAGTTTTGCAAGATTCACCGTGTTGCATGTAATTGCAACTCACATTTCTTCAAAATACTCCACTGTGGAACATTTGTGGCACCCCCACTTGGTCGCCATTGCTAATCTCATGTCTGTTGCCATTTGGCCTTTTATACAAAAGTTCATTCCCTTTGAAACTAATATGCTTGGTTTCCAGACCTTTTGGCAGATCCAGAAATTACCAGGTGACTCCTGAGTCTTCAGTATCTCCCCACAAAGTGTGTGGACAGTTGTGCAGATTGTTAATTGACTGGTCGTTGTTCTTTGGTTAGCTTGGTCTTTCCGTTTGCCCCTGTTCTGACCTCTCTGTTTCTCTCTCTCTGTCCCTGCCCCTTTGGTCTAGTCATTACCACACAAGATGAAAGAGTCCAGCTCACTGAACAGTAGAAAAATCTGTGACGAAGTGCACTTTCAGGCCATTCAGAGTGAATCTTCAGATGCATTTAGTGACCAGTTGCCCACACTGGCCAGGGCACCTCCTGGGCAGCCACTTTCAGAGCAGAACAACCCCCCGACAGAGATGCAGTTTGGTAATGAAGAGGATGCCGAGGCTCTGGGGGTAGCAGCGCTGCCTCTGCTTAGGATTGAAGACCCCAAACCTCACTCTGCTGGCGCAGCCCCTACAGCAAGCAAGACAGATTCTCCGAGGAGAAAAGGTGTGAAGGCTGGTGCTTCCAGCTCCTGCTGTGCAGACTTGGTGCCCTGCAAACTACAGAGTACATTAGGGTGGAACCTGAATCCTGTCCCATTCATTCTGTCTCCTTTTGCTGAACATATTAGTTAGCAGAATTTAGTTCTAGAAAAGCAGACCTAAGGAGATCGTGGGGACCGTGTAGTGAGCCCCTCATGTTCCAGACTGACAGTGCTGGGATCCAGGGGGATTAAGTCGTCCTCAGCACACTGTGGGCTCATAGGAGTTGATTATTAAGCTAATACTGGCCCTGTCTCCTCTCTCCCCAAGTTCTCTAGTGCATTACCCTGTTGTAGTTTCTTCATAGTGGTGTATCACTATTTCAAATGGTCATTTGTTTATTATTATTATTTTGCCCCACTTCCCTACTGGAATATATGTGCCCCATGAAATCAAGAACCTTTTTGGTCTGGTTTACCTTTTTCCTCTGTGCTTACAGTAGTAGCTGGCACATAGTAGGTGCTCTATGAATGCTAGTTTAATGCACCCTGGTTGCGCATCAGGAGTGAGCATCTGTTAGCCACCCAGCCTTGTGCAGTCTTGTGGAGTTGTATGAACCAATGATGTGATTTCCTGGCAGAAGCAAACAGCATGCCTGCTCTCATGGTGCACGGTGACCACCAGAAGCACAACCTTTTAGGTTGCTGTGCTTGGGAGTATTGATGGGGAGGTGCTTAATGGAAGCTCCTGTCATTTAATAGTAATAATAGCAATTGCTTCAGTATACTGAGTGCTTAGTACACTTTGGGCACTTCACAGATGGGAACCCAGGCTCAGCAAATTCACGTGACTCAGTCAAGGTCACACAGTTGGCAGTGATGGACAGTGGACCCCAGGGTGGTGCTGTACAGCTGACTTCTCACTCTTTTGTTCTGGGCCAGTTAGGGTACTTCTGAGCAGATTCACACAGGTGTTTAAGTGTTCTTTCTAGAGCTACTCAGCAGACCCCAGGCTGGCCCTGGAGGAATGGTGTCTCCGACTGACCCATTTGCTCTTGCAGACAAGCGAAGCAGACATCTTGGTGCTGATGGCGTCTACTTGGATGACCTCACGGATATGGATCCAGAAGTGGCCGCCTTGTATTTCCCCAAAAAGTAAAATATATTTTTATTCCTCATGTCCCTTTCTATAATCTGAGTGTTAATGTGTGAGAGTTTGTTTTTTCCTTAAGTTTGATAAGAAAGTAAGAAAGGGCAGGGGAAGCTCAGATTTTACTGTGAAAAGCAGCCACTGAAAACTGCAGTTTCTCTGTAGATGTAGGTGTGGGCATATCTCAGTGTGCCTAGCTTCCCACCATCTGGACAGGAATCAGGCGCCAGGCTGCCTCCCCTGGTGGCCCGCAGCTCACTGGTTCTCGGGCGGTGTGCTTTCCCTTGAGCTCACTTCCCATGGGTTTGGGAGGGGACACCAGGAGATGTGATTGGCCAAAACAATTGCTTTCCTTCCTAAGGTAATTCGTTTTACTTTGTCATGGCGTTTTAATGAAAAGTCTGCCCTGAGATTAAGTCATTTGCACATCGGGAATCATTTGATGCCTGTGTAAGCCCCCAAACCAGGAGAATGCTCAGGGACTCTCCCCGCCTCCTCCTTCCAGCGGAGATCCTTCTGGGCTCTCAAAACATGCCAGCGACAGTGGAGCCCGGTCAGCCAACCAGTCCCCGCAGTCCGTGGGCAGTTCTGGTATGGACAGCGGCATGGAGAGCACCTCGGACGGCCTGAGGGACCTGCCGTCCATCGCCATCTCCCTCTGCGGGGGCCTCAGCGACAACAGGGAGATAACCAAAGGTACCGGGCGGCGCGGAGCTGGTCCTCCAGCCGAGAGCTCCCTCTTGTGGCAGCTGCTGGAAATGTCCGGAGGCTGGGCTTTAGTTCCTAAGTCGTTTTGCCTCGCCTGTGGTTCAAGATGGCACAGATGGCTCACTGCTTGTGCCCAGATGTTGCTGACCTGCTGGCTGGCCTCGGGTCTGCTGGTCCCCACGTGGCTCAGGCAACAGGAAGGTTATTGGGGTCCCTTGCTGTTAGGCGACTTTGCAGAGCATGGTGTGTGTCCCCTTGCCCCATGCCTGTCCTGCAGAGGTGTCTTCCAGAGCCTGAGTGTCCTGGGAAAGTCAATGTTATTAAATGTGCCAAGGCACTGTGGGGTCTCGGGTTTGTCTGAGCTGGTGTAGGAGTGTTTCCCAGGTGGGTTCTCTTAGGATTGGCTTAGGTGGGGAGTTAATTCTTAGCCTCCACAGTATTCATGACAAGCGCTTTCCAGTGTCATGATGGTTCTGTGATGAGTGGCTGTAGTTGGTACAGTCGGCCGTCACCAGCCAACAAAGGCCTTGAGCGGGCCTGGTAGCCCGGTGTCCCTTTCCTCCCACTTCTGCTGTCCTCTCTTTTTCATCCCCACTGCTGGTCCTCTAATAAATATGACTTAAACCGCGGCGGCCTGGTTTCTGAGCTGTCAGCATTCATTGGCTTTGCAGATGTGTGCATAATGCCCTGTGCTCCACACACCTGCTTCCCTGCCTCAGGCCACCCTCAGCCTCCCTTTGGCCCTGCACAGACACTGCCCCCAGAGTGAACCAAAGCCCCATTTACAAATACATTGTGAGAATTGTGTGTGCAGTTAGACTGCATAAACTCTCAGAAAACACTTGTGAATGATGAGTGCAAAATAGGCCTATTTTTTGGACTCACGTATTCCTTATATTTTCCCTACAACTGCTTTCACAGATGCATTTTTGGAACAAGCTGTGTCATACCAACAGTTTGTGGACAACCCTGCTCTCATCGATGACCCCAATCTGGTGGTGAAGATCGGGAATAAGTAGGTTCCTCTTGAAAGTCACTTTGGCAGCCACAGGACAGTGTGTCAGTCTGTTTTTTCAAATGCAGAGACCTAGACAATAAGCCTTAGAAATGTATAAAATGAAGTCTGTTAAAATTTATTACTATCTTTTCACTCTTACCAGAATTCTGTGTTGTTACATGATTGATAGGTCGATGAAACTATCCATCTTGTGGATTTAATACTGGTCTGAAGTGAACTTTATAATGGAATGTGTAAAGTCATGGCACTTGGCCTGAGGAATTGAGGCCCGTGGAGTACCTGGTACAACTTCTGTCCCCCGAAGGCTTCGTTGTCTGAAGTCAACGGCTAGACAAGTGTTTTTGTAGACTGTAGGTGTTGGCAAACTTTTCTCCCAAGGAGGAGGTTGTGGATGTTTGTGTATTAATATAGGACACTTAGTTCCTTTTCCTTGAAGCGTGGCAGGAAATGCTGCAAACCTGTTGGTGCCTGGATGCACAGGGGAGCTTGGGTGGCTCCCAGCCAACCCTGGGGGTCTCCTGCCACCTGAGACTGTCCTAGCTGCTGCCACACCAGCTGTTCGTCCACTCAGTGTGGGGTGGATGGAAGAGGGGCCACCCCAAGGGTGGGGTGGAAGGGCGGGGTGTTGGCAACTGTACTGGGCTCTGGAACTCCAGTTCCAGAGATTTCCATGACCACTTCTCATGATGTTAGAAAGATTTTCAGTCTGAATCTTGATCTACTGACATCTGTTTCATTGTTTTGTGTCAGATATTACAACTGGGCAACAGCAGGCCCTCTGCTCCTGGCAATGCAGGCCTTCCAGAAACCTTTGCCAAAGGTGAGCTTTACATGAGGAAGAAAAGGGACACTCAGATGATGGATGGATGAACCCTGGTGTTGGGATTTAACTTTTCATTTAGAAACCACACTTTACATCACATTACGCTTTTAATTACACAGTTAATTGCATTACACTTTTAGAAGTTGATGAATCTAAACTTAAGGAGTTTTGAATCCATCCCTTTGGAAACCTGCCTGTCTTGCCCATGCCCGCTTATGAAGGCAGAACCTCCCAGTTGTGGCAGTGCCAGACCATGGCCTGCCTCCTCCAGGGCTCTTCCCCACACCTGCTGTGCCAGGGGCACAGGTGGGGCAGACTGGATGGATGCCTGATGTCAGAGCCTGGGATGGTGAGAGAAGAGCGAGGCTGGGACAGGGAGAAGATGCCCTGACGCCAGGTGTCCGTACCAGGGGCAGGCGTGGCTCAGCGGGCAGTGAGCCCCATGCCGGGTGGGTGAATGCAGGGCCTGGCAGCTACAGGCTGACCTGGGCAGCAGTGAGTGGCTGCAGGAAGAGGCAGGGTTAGCGGGGCAGGTGCGCTGTTGTGGCCCCCTGTGCCCTCTTCCTCCCTGTAGTCAGGCCCTGGACACTCGGCTTGGAATTGTTCATTTTTCCAATGTCCTCCTACTAGATTATACATTCTTTTTGCTGCCAAGACCATGTCTTATCCTTGTTTTATCCTTTGTATGCTTAGCAAGTGCTTTGTACTGCTTTGGGTGTGGTGGTCTCTCTGATTATCTGGGGTTCCGGAAGGCCTACTCTGACTTGGCGTCTGGGCTCGTTTTCTGCTGTGTGTGTGTGTGTGCATGTGGATTTGGGGATTGGGACCTCATCTTCATCTGCCAGGATTTTTGGCTGACTGAGCCGAGGGCATGTTTTCCTGTGTGATTTTTATTTTGTCTCTGCCAGGTTCCTCGTGGTATCCATGACCCGGGACAAATTTTTATGTTATATTTCTCAGCTCTTACAAATTAATAAGAGAAAAGACCAATTCAGTAGAATATAGTTAAAGGATTTAGTTCACAGAAAAAGAACTACGCATGGTTTGTAAACTTAGACAGATCCATCTTTGTGATAGGCATCCTAATCTTTTTACAAGTTGTCAGTAGTTTTTTTAACTCTGTTTATGGTGTTTATTAATATAGAATTATTTTTATATGTGGAATTTGTTAGCCTCCTATGGCTGCTGGTTTTTTTTTTTTATCATACTTAGAACAGCTCTGCTTCCATTTCTAAAACTTGTGAAAATATGCCATCTTTAAGTACTTTCTTAAATCCTTGATCCATGTAGATTTTGTTTTGAGTGTGATGAGTGAGGTGTCAGGAATCGTGTCCGTTTTTCCCCAGCTGGTCATTGAATCAGGATGCTTTGATTGCAGGATACGGAATGACTTCAAGCAGCTTAAAAGGTGTTCGTTATCTTACCCAAGAAGTATCTTAAAGGCTGGCAGTTTCAGGCTTGATGAATTTGGCTTAGTTCTCTCTGATTCTCTTGGCTTCCCCTCTATGATCACCAGATGAGAGTTCTGCCCACGGACTCTCACGCAGCCACGTCCCACAGAGGAAGGATGGAGGCGGACTTCTCACGTTTCATTGGCCGCATTGTGGTCACACGGTCACCTCCAAACTAGTCGTTGGCAAAACAGTGGGGTGACTATGAATGGTGTAGACCTGTCGAGGGTTGTCCTCTGAATTGAGCCTGCCTCCCCGGAATATACTGCAGGCTGATTCCTGACGGTGTTGTGGAGGTGGTGTTGTGGAGGTGTCCGTGGGAAGGAAAGGGGATGATGCTCTCAGGGAGGCTCTGGCATGGCTGCCCAGTTATCTGAGCAGCTTTCATTAGATCACCCTTTTCCTCACCTGTAGGCAGTTACAACTTTGTCCTGTATTGTCGAGATTGATTCTTGGACTTTGTCTTCTGTCCCATGAACAGGTTCACTCATGTACCAACCCTGCATTTTTTCAATTACTGTAGCTTTTAAGTATATTTTAATATCTAATAAGGCTTGTGCCTACTTATTATTCTTCTGTCTGTGAGTTGTCCTGGCTGTTTTTGTTTGTTTTAATGATGAACTTCAGAATCAGTGTGTCTCGGTCTGAAAATTACTCTTTTTTAGTTGGGGTTTTCTTACATTTATGGGTGAATTTAGGAGGAACAGATTGTCATCTTTATGGATTATCCTGTTTGTGAAAAGGGTCTGCATGGTTTGCTTTTTAGTGTATTTGGGTTTTCTTTTGTGTGGGGGATTTTAAAATGATTGATAAAAGCATACTTCAGGCTAAATATGTGAATTATTCATCTTACCTGCAGCTGGTTTGGTTGAAAACTTCAATCTTTCTTTCATTGTTAGCTGAGGCATTAGTTACCTGATAGTTTTGTAAACCAAGGAAGGGAAATTAGATATTTACTTCAGTATTAGAATTAGCCTCAGGATAGATATTTTGTTCTTTGTAAATACTTAGAAAATTGTTAATTAATATTGAATCTCCCCCATTAAACTCTCATTTGTTCAGGGCAGAAGTATGAATGTTCTTTTCCTTTAGGTTTTAAGTCAGATGCATCTATTAATGTTCAGTTTTTCAAAATTAGTAAATTCACATTTACTAAAAATATCCTGTGCATTTTATCTTTCATATAAAACTGTTTTACCCTATACCCCATATTAAGCATTTCATTCTTTATTTTATCATCATCATATTGAGAGTAACAATATGTTAACCAGTAAACCATTTTAACTTGAAAACTTATGGTCTTACTAATCACTAATGATTTTCAATGCTTTCTTTTTCTGTTGTTGTGTTGTGTTTTCTCTATTTGTTTGTTTATTCCTTTAACATCTTCTTAAGTCTTCATGCTTAAGTTACCTTACTGTGATTTTGGATGCCATTAGGTTTTGTTTCTCGAAAATTTTTAATCAACAAATAGTATGTTGTGTGTTCTCTGTTTTTTCTTTTTTTTTTTTAAGTCTTGCTTTAATTTGCATGTGTGAGTCTTTTGGTTTAAATGTGCTAAGTTGATCTTTTTTTGGTTCCATTATTTATGTTACCATCCATTTAAAACAGGCCACTGTGGAATCTATCATGAGGGATAAGATGCCCAGAAAGGGAGGAAGATGGTGGTTTTCATGGAGGGGAAGAAATACCACAATCAAAGAGGTAAGCCTGGAAACAAACACCCAGAAAGAGCGTTTCTCCTTAGTTCAGCAAGTGTTGGTTTTCGTGGTGGAGTTTGTTTTCATGCTCGTACGTCAGAGTAATAAGCGTAAGCCAGAACACCGAGTTTTCATTAGGCGGCTCTGCCACAAAGTCGGAGAGGCTTCCGAGAAGGTGGAGAAAGTAGAGGAGAAGGAGGGGTGCGCAGAGGGCTGGGCTCACCCCTGACTCAGTTACCTAGCTTGGAGACTGTGGTCAAATCACTCCCTGTCTGGAACATTTCTTCTTCTGTAAAAAGAAGGGGTTCATCCTGATAGTTTAAATTTTTTCTCAAGTTAAATATCTTCCTGCTGCTTGTGAGTATGATTTTAATGAGGTGTATATAGTGCTAGACCAGATCTTCCCATCATTTCACTTAAGTGGCATGTCAAGTATATGTGGCTTTAAGTTTCTACTCCTGTGAATGTTTATAGTTTTTCTGGATCTTTGTCAATCGCTCAGCCTATTTTTTTTCCAGGCCAGACATTCTTTTGTATCCATGTCCATTTGTCAGAGAGCCACTTAGGCAGACATCTCCACCAGGGCACATCAAGACACTTCAAATTCTTCATTTCTAAAGTTGAACTCACGATTTTTTTGTGAATTCTTCCTTCACTGGCCAATAGTCAGAAAATGGTGCCCTTGTCTATCCATAGGATGGACATTTCCTTTTTTCTCACTTCTCACATTCAGTCCATCACCATGTCCTATCCATTTACCAGCTTAAATATTTCTCAAAGTTATCCGTTTCTCTCCTGCTGCACTCCCACAATCCAGGCTACCACCATCATCACCGCTTCCAAATGGTCTGTTGGTATCCAGTCTGGTCCTCTCTTCTTCATTCTTTATACTGCAGTTGGCTTGATCTATTTAGGATACTGGCCCAGGTTATGTTACTCCTGCTTAAAAACTTTTAGTGACTTCCCAGGGCTCTTATAATAAAGCCCGATATCCTTAATACAGGCTGCAGGACTTGTGTCTCCTAGCCCTTGCCTGCCTCTCTGGCCTTGTCTGCTGTCTCCTCTGCCCTGGGTGCTGCAGCATCATGGCTGAAAGTATGCTCTACCCCAGGACTTCTGCGTGTACTGTTTTCTCTGCCTGCTGTTGAGGACCCCTCTCATCCGTTTCACTTAACTCACCAGGCAGCTGGCCCTTCCTTAGCAGGCTGACTCGGGCTGCTGCTCTCTGCTCTCAGCGCCCTGCCTGTGAACTTCTCCTCCATAAATTTCATCCGTGTTTGCAGGTCTGTACATAGTAGTGTGACTATTTGGTTAACATCTCCTTTTCCACTCCCTACGCTCTGTGAAGACAGGGACCATGTATGGCTTTGATCCCTGGGTATCCCTGGCCCCCATATTGGACCCAGAGCAGGGGTTTGCCAAATGTTTGAGGGAACGCTGGTCACTGCTGGAATACAGGTTGAAGAAACTTCACAGACCGCAGTCAGGCTGGTTGTTGTAGAAGTAAAGGAAATGCCAGCGAGCTCAATTTATTTATTCCACGAGTTCAAAGGGAAAAAAAATCTGGTGCAAGAGTTTCATCAAGATAGAATTGTTTTCTGACATTTTCTGTGAACATACCTGGGTTTTACTTACTGTCCCATTATCTCCAAGGGGTGTAAAGAAGTTAGAGCAAACATGCTTTCTTTAGGAGACTGAAAGCATAAAGGGCCTCTCCAGTTACCTTACTAGAGAACAGAATGTTTTAGAATTTAGGCAGGAGGCTCTTTCAAAGATCTATTTATTGTAGACTGCACAGATGCTCCCCAGCCTGAATTGAGGGGATGGCAACATGAAATAAGGATCAGTTATGCAGTTATATATTTCTTAAAAATATGGAAATATGTTTATTTCAGATAGATATAGATTTCTAAATTAATCTAATAAAGAAGTGTTGATCATTGTGGCTAAGTTACCTCCATAAGTAGATTAAAAATTACTGGCCATGTTATCACATCAATTATTTGTGTGCTTACGAAAGGCTAAAGAGTATTTGGGAATGTTTTATACTCATCATGTGTTAAGACGGTCACTCTGATGTATTGTTTATATCACTCACTTTATTTACTAATATTAAAAACATTAACCTGCCTTCTGACCAAATGACCACAAGTAATGAGATTTAATTATATGTCCTTTGTCCTTTTGACACTTCTGTCTGGCCTCTGATGGCGTCCCATGAAGTCCGTGGGGCTGGCGGGTGTCTCCCAGCTCCTCGCCTGCTGTGGGCCAGGCCCTGTGTCTGCGCAGCATGTCCCTTGTCTTTGAAGTAGTGTTAGGCGATAGATGTTACCATTCCTGTCCTACAGGTGAGGGAACAAGGCTCTGAAAGGTTCTGTGACTTGTCCAGGGTTCCTAACTGAGAGGTGCAGGAAGGAGCCAGATAGATATCTTAGAATTGCAGGGCTCTTTCCAGCCCATCAGAGGAGGATTTTCTATGAGTATGCAATACTGGGAAAGAGACAATGAATGCATCCACATTTTCCCAAGCAAAATCTGGTGTGAAAATATTTTCAAGCATTTCTATCAGCATTTATAAGAAAATATTTTGAAAGCCCTTGGTATCCGAGCAGCCCTTGGTAAAGCATTTGCATAAGCTACAGTGATTATGAAGTTTGGTTTGATGCCACAAACACTTCGGGAAAACAGACTCATTTCTGTCCAAAATATTTCTCAGCTTGATTGTACTTCCAAGCAAAGAAGTAACTAGGACCTGCTGCCCCTTGGGTCTGTGCCACTGGGGAAGGCTTTGGGGGCACTGCCCTGGGCTTAGGGGAGCTGTCCTCGGACACCAGCTGTCGTGCAGGTGCTTCTCTTTGGTCCGCTCCTGACTCTTCCTTTTGTTCTTCAGGAAAATAAGCCAGAGCAGTGCTTGGATGGAAAGAGCCGCAGTCCCGGGGAGCAGCCATCACAGCTTAGCATGGCCACCAGGTACAGTGTGAGTCCACCGAGGCTGGAGCCCCTTTCTGTGTTCACGGTCACAGCACATGCCTGTTGATGCTGATGGGGTTCAAGGAACAGCACGGGCCTTGGACCCAGACAGACCTGGATCTCAGACCTGGGTTCCAGTGACCTGGAGCAGTACTTAACTTGGTTTCCTAGGAATCATGTGGAGGCCGTTGCCCCTTAGATACCTAATTTGCAAAGGAAATGTGGAGCTTAAATGAGGTCATGGAACTAGGACACTTCACATGGTCTTGGCATATGATAGCCCATGATGTACAGAGGAGTGTAGAAGTGACGATGACCATGATAAGCCATAGAGCATAAGCAGTGACATGAAAATAAGTCTCCCTTCTAGAGGACTCGAAGGTTACTTACCAGGACTTCATGTTGACATTTTTCTAAGTATTGATGTAGATTCATATTAACTTGGCAATGGGTCAATATTATTAGTGTTTTGTCATCAGCGTGTGGATTTGAGGGTAACTACTCTGAGGGCAATGCCATCACCCTCTAATTAATGGACTTGATAGCATCTAATAACACCGAATGAGCTAATGTAACCCCTTTTACATATTAACCCTGCCTCTTGAGTGTTCTTGTGCTTAAGAAACCCAAGATTGCACTTCTTGTTTAGCAGACAGGAAATGCTACTGTTAAAGGAAGGCAGGTTACATATCTTAATCCTTTTTGTGTCTTGGAGGCCAAGCCAATACCTGGCACATAGCAGGCATTTCATAAATGTTGTTGAGCTATTACTGAACTGCCAAAACTTTCCCAAATACTGTTGATCCACAGGAGAGGAAGGCTTAGATTTCAAGTCTTCAGACTCTGTACTGTAAATTATTTTTATTTCAGAATTCACTATTGGATACTGAGACCCATGTAGGTAGAAGGACGCATTTTGATGTCTTAATTGGTGTCTGCACATGGGAAGGGCACTGGATTGGCTTTTCTGTTCACCCTCCGTCTTTGGCTTGTTCTCTGGGGAAGGGCTTTCAGGCATGATTATGGACACTTTCCCCACCTGGAATTTTGAGTTTGACTTGGAGTGAGCCTGGGAGGGAGAAGGCAGGTGAGTTTGGGATGGAGCACCTGTTGACAGCGGGCTGTCCTCGGAGGGACGTGTAAAGCAGCCAGTGGATTTTCTGTGAGCACTTGTTCACTTATATTAGTGGGAGGAAGCAGGTTGTAAACAGTCTTTGGAGTCCAGCCCATCTGGTTTGGAATTCGGGCCTCAGGCACACTCCATTCCAAACCTGAGCAAAGGAGCAGGCATGACATTGTTGCCCAGAGCAGCCAGGGGCCACTGCACGGGACAGAGAGTCGATGCCGTGAGAGGGACACTGGCAGATACACTGGCCTGCCTGGCCTGAGTGACGCAAACCAGTGGTTTAGCTGTGCTGGAAATGTCCTGCTCTGCAGGAATTCTTTTGAAGGGCGCTCTCTGCCCTGGCAATGAGTTCCAGAGAGGCAGCATGAACAGGACATGAGAGCAGACATTGTCCGTTTGCTGTGTGATGTTTGGCCAATTCATCAGCTTCTCAGTGTCTCCTGCATCTGTGCAATGGGGTTAAGAGTGTCACCAGCACCGCAGACATTGGCACATGCAGTCCTCACACCAGCTTCATGAGAAGGGAGGTTCAGATGCAGACCCCAGCAGAGCAGTGAAGGGGGAGGAGGGTGGCTCTGCGGTGATCTCGAGGACTCCCCTGTGCGTCCTAGCTGTGCACTTTCAGATGTTTTAAAATATACTTAGCAGTATGTCCAAATGCAGGTGTCTGCCAAGTTCAGCCTGCGATGCGCCCGCTTAGACCTAGCAGAAGATGGGCCTAAGTTCAGGTTTAGGAGGAACAACGTGGCGACAGCTGGTATCGCCTGGTGGGCAGGGGCCGGGGGTCCACTACTATTAATCTTCCCCTTCCCAGCAGTAGCCCTGGGAGCCCTGGGTGGGCTGAGGGTAGGAGAGCAGCACACACTCTGCAGCTTTCCTCGAAGCTGGAACATCAGCTGGCACAGTTTATTTGAGGTGTCCAGGATTTTCTTACTGTCTGAAACCCTATTTAGATATCGGCAAAATGCTCTTCCCGTTAAACAGAAGTAGTTTGACTTCACCTTTTCTGATTTAGTCATGCTGCAATGCTTTAGTAAATCTAAAAAATGAAGAATTGACTCTTGTGAAAAGGAATTGAGACTTGGAAAAGTATTAATATAAAGTTCTTTTGAGAAATCTAAATCTTTTAATTTTTACTGGCATTTTAGACTTTCAGTCTCCTAATTGGATTCATGCAGTTGTCTAAAAAAAGGCATTGGAGTGCTTTCCTAATTGACGGACTTGATTGACAGAACAGTCCCTGAAGTCTCTTAATTGAGCAAACAGCTTGTCACCATACAAATCATTAAAATACCATTTGAAAATTGTACACTGTGACAAGTGCTAACTTAGACGTTCACAGCTACTCGTCTGAACACAGACTTTCAAGCGAGATGAGCCTTTTTGTTGTGTTTTGTAGCTCCTTGCAGAAGCTGTAAAGCGAGCAGCATTTAATGAGCTGGTGCAAGAGTGGGGGACCACGGAAGGGCAGTGTGGGGTGGGAGCTGTGTCTTTCCACGCGTGGCAGAGTCCACAGATGACCGTGTGGACTGGCCGTAAGCTGGAACTACCAGCCGCCAACTGTACAACTCCCATTTTAGGTTTTCTCTCTGTGTTTTCCTGTCTTGTTCCCTCACACACGCATGCTGCGTGGATTTAGCATGGTAGGTTTTTTTTAAAGCAGCAGATGGAAATAACCACTGTTCTGTCTTGCTCTGCATCATTCCGACAGAGGCACACATCAGTCTGCAGTCATTAAGAGCTTTAGTTCACATTTGGATCTCATTTCACTACAAACTGTTTGGCTGGCACATAAACATTTTCCAATTCAATGAGGGGCCTGTAGCCCGGCTCCTGGGGTCCCACCCAGCCGCTTGTCAGGCCGGACCGGCTCCAGAACTATGTCCACCATCACCGGAAATCTCTCGGTTGTTGGCTCAGAAGAACTGGCATTGTCCACAGGATCCACAGGGACTGGAACTGTAAAGGGCTTTTGTGGGACCGCGTTGCTTTACAGACAAGCCACTGAGGCCCAGAGAAGATGCTCGAGATGTGAAGCCTTTGGGACTCATGTGCCCCAGTCTGGTTCTTTCTGTGTGTTATCTGGCCGCAGCCTGAATTTTTTGGTGGGTGGGGTACAGTTTGTTCCTCTGCATTTTAAGATAATGAAATCAGGGCTGAAAGAAAAGGAGGAATTTGTGCAAGGTAACAGAGCCAGATTGCTATGGGGTGTGAACCTCTCTGGTCCTAACCTCTGTGCCTCCTCTACTCTGCCTCCCGCCAGCCCACAGCGTCCTGGTTGTGGATTTGTCCACATGTAGCTTAGTCCCGCCATATACCAACCAGGATTCTAGCGTACCCACTCAGTCCTCTGCGGACAAAGCCACCTTTCCCCCTGGCTCCTTCCCCAGGGCTGTGTGCCAGTTACAGCCAAGGCTAACTCCCGCCCAGGCGGTTCTGCACAGCCCAGGCCCCCAGGCCAGCTGCTCCCATGGTGTCCTCTGCTTTCCTGTCACAGCACTTGCCCTGCTGTGTGGTGACTGTTTAGACAAAAAGCCCTGGGGAATGGGCTGGGGTGTTTGCTGTACGGACAGCAACTGGCACAGGGCAGGTAAGTCGTGGGTGAATGAGTTCCAGGTAACCGGCGGGCAGCCCCCAGGCTCCCTCTTGTGGGGTGGGGGCAGCAGGTGCTTAGGGAGGGGCACCTCATGCTCGAAGTGGAGAGAAAGAAGAGGCAGTAGAAGAAAGGGAGCAGTGTCGTCCCTGCTGTGTGCCCCAGTTTGTGGCTGTGTTGTAGGCGCTGCTTCTGGGATGAACACACAAAGGGCAGGAACGCCAGGGGAGGGGGGAGGAGGGAGGCAAGGGGGAAAACGGCAGGAGGACAAGGGGACGTGAGATGAAAAGGTGACACGGGGCTCCTGTGTGTGTGTAGATCCTGCCTGAGGGGATGTGCGGAGCCGGAAGCCCTGCAGGAGGCGCGCACCAGGGGGCTGCGATGTGCCTGCTTGGGGCCTCTCGGCCTTTTCTGCTGGGCCTCACAGACGTTTGTTAAGCACGTCATGTGGTATTAAGACATTTTTAAGGATAATGGTCCTCTCAAGTGGAGCTAATACGCTGGGTTGGGGATTATGTCAGAGCAGGTTTTTAATCGAGGAAACAACTAATTACCGATAGCCTTTATATGAGCAATTTAAAGAACGTGAGACTGCTCCCCACCTGTACCTCCCAGCTCCCCCTGCAGATGGAGAGGCCTGGGAGAGCGGGGAGCATGGGCCTGCGGATTCTGTGCGGCGAATACGGTGTCGCCCTTGCTCAGGGGGCAGCCTCCTTAGGGAGGAGGATCGGCGAGTCTTCCCGGCCTTCACGGGCACCTATGTGTAGGTCCTGGGGTGTTCCAGTTATTTGGACTTGTGTGTTGGGGGAGGTGTATGCAGGGAACTGGTCACTTTGGACGTGTGGGGATTTGGACTCCTTGTGCTTTGTCTGCACCTCAGGAAAGAGAAGGGGGTGTGTGCGTCCTCCCAGGCCAGGAGGAGTTCGAGCCTGCTTATCAGGACAAAGAGCTTCTCAGTTTAAAATAGAGTGATGAGGGCTGGTAAACAGGGGAGTGAATGAGGAGAGGCAGCCCCGGATGAATGATGCAAGAAGGGGATGAAACACCCTTATGAATGGGCATTTAGTGAGTTCATTGATGAATGTAATGGCCTGTGGTAAATGACCACCCAGGAGACAGCACTCAGGAGAGACCCCAGCGACTCCCTCATTGATTCGGGCCTAATGCATTTTTAATGGCTACTCAAATGCATTTCCTAATTGGTGATTACATCACTGTGTGTTCCAGAATAAAGCATGAATCATCTTCCAGTGATGAGGAGCATGCAGCTGCCAAGCCATCAAGTGCAAGCCACTTCTCCCTGCTGTCCAACGTCAGCTACAAGAAGACCCTCCGGCTCACTTCAGAGCAGCTCGTGAGTGTCCTGTTCTTCCCTGGCCACGTTTGTGGGCACTGGCCACCCAGCCTGGGTGGGTTTTATGGTCTGGGTGTCCCTCCTGTCCACTGTCCCCCACTCCCTGCCTTTGACACCCTGTGTGTGTGCCAACATCAGTTCCATCGGTACCGGCCTCTTGTATCACTTACCCTTTGTCTTCCCTGACACAGCCCCGAAGGTGCCTGCTTCCCCTTGTTGGAGGGAATAGCCTGATGGAGCTAATTTATCCTGAGGTGTACATGACGATAGATCCAGATCTGCCAGGGCTGCTTCCACTTTTAGAGACATGTTTGCTAACTCAAATGCATCTCCTAAGTTGGGGGAATCAATCACTTGAGAGATGGGATTTAGACATTTTCAGGTAGCAGGGGGCCCTCTTGGTTACCATGTCCTTTTTCATGCGGGTGTTACCCTGGTTTGGATTGGAACTTCCTTCCCTGGACCTGTTTACTGTGATCAGACAGTGAGTAAGCGCCCCTGCTCTTTTGCTTTTATCCTAAGGGCTAGTTGGGGGCCAGGCTCAGTTGTAATTGTGTTTCACTAGAAGGGAAAATGGTCAGGCCCAGACACCCACCTAATGCCTCGAGTGTGTCCCTGCAGCGTGGCTGTCCCAGGGCAGCCACATGGCACACAGCTCTGGCCAGCAGTGCTGGGGGAAACTGAGTCAGGCAGCCAGCTGGCATGCATTGGAGGGTCCCAGCAAAGAGATGCAAAACTGCCACAAGTAATTTACTTTCTGATGCGGTTCCTGTGCGTCCCTGCCTCTGGGTACGCCTCACTGAGGCTGCTTTCCTGCCGTAAACACAGCTGCTTAGGGAAATGTATTTCCACACTTGGCCTTGCCGCCCCCGTTGTGGCCCCTCATTTCCTCATGGGGTTGTACATGTCCTGTCGTGAGACTGTGATTCAGGGTGGCAAGCCATGTGGCCTGTCATGCATCCCCATAGAGAGTGGGGTGAGCTGCATTCCAGGTGGGCCTGTGGGAGAGCTGGTGGTCAGGTTTCCCAAATTCTGGAAAAAAAGGTTGCCATCTAGAGCAAGACAGGAAGAAAGAATCACACAGTGGCCTAGGGCAGTGTTTGTTTGTTTGTTTGTTTTTTTAAGACCCTCATGCAGCTTCTCATGGAACAGAAGCCACGTATCCCTCAATCCGGGCTTTTTCCTCAAGAGGACCCATGGCTCATGTTTTTCAGAAAAGCTTGAAGTTGAAGAATGGCCCCAATGACGTGGTTTTCAGTGTTACCACACAGTATCAAGGCACGTGTCGCTGCGAAGGCACCATTTATCTGTGGAACTGGGATGATAAAGTTGTCATTTCTGACATCGATGGGACCATCACCAGGTAGGGCCGGCTGCCTCAGGCCACAGGCAGGTCTACACTGATCATGAGAGCCCCAGACCTGGAGCCCCCATTTCAGCTCCCCTCTTTCTGTGGGATTGTGGGGCTGGTGTAGTTCAACTTTCAGTACAGTTGGCACTGCTCGCAGAGGCTTAAGAATCAACGAGCTGCAAGTGGGGCTGGCAGCTGTTTCCATCTGGGGTGTCAGTTCCCTGATTTTGGTGCCTGTGTGGAAGCTTCTGAAGAGCGTCTTGCAGAATGGCCTTTCAGTGTGGGGTAGCATCAAGTCAGGGACTTGCTACCTGCTCAGAGGAAGGTGCCCTTTGTGCATTACCATATTCCTCTGTGAGCATTCTCATCGGATCACGGGACTGTGGGGCCTTCCATCCAGAAAGTGAGTCGTGGATCTTGTTTGCATTCTGTTTGAGGTATTTATGATACAGTGAGTCAGAATGGGTTTTTTCCCCTTTTGCAGTGCCCTTGTAAATTTTTAATTTCTGTCTTTATTTAGATCAGACACTCTTGGCCACATCTTGCCCACCCTCGGGAAGGACTGGACCCACCAGGGTATCGCTAAGCTGTACCACAAAGTGAGCCAGTAAGTACAGAGCGCTTGTCTCTGCTTCCCACGCAGGGCCGGGGTGCACACGACACTGCGCGCAGGATCCTTGCGGCCAGCGTGCCTCACAGAGAGGGTGCCCCTCAGGCAAGGGAGATCAGCAGGAATGCTGCCAACTCCAAATTCGAATTTAATACTGAAGCCAGGAAAGGCGGAAATAGACAAATCGAAACCTGATGGAAAAGAAAGTGGTAGCATTAGAGGAGGGATTGTGATTCAGTCAGAGCCAGAGATAATCAGATGAAGAAATGGTGGTCTGCTATATGCCAAGCAGTTTATTTCGGGTGACAGCGGTGCAAATTCCAGGCAGGTTTTAGCTGCGGTGCTGGCCCTGTGGGCCCACCAGCAGTGCGTATCTCGGCCACCTGGTCTGGTCCAGCAGTGGTGCAGTAGCATTTATTATGCAGAATGAGTGTATAAATAAATAAAGAAGGCTACTAGGAAGTACTTTCTTTACTGTAAAGTAGAATGTGAGCACGTTTAATGATTTGATCAATATTACTGAATTGCCAGACGTCCTCCCAGCCTGCCATCTTGTAGATGGTATGTGTGCAGACTCTTCCCCACAGCCTCACCAGGGGCTGACCTTTTTGTTCAGGAGGATTAATCCGTTCATGAGCTGTCCTGACTTGCATGACTGAAAATTGCATCTATTTTTAGTTGAAAGAAACCCTCGTGGGTCAGCCCATGGAATAGCTTACAGCTGATTCATTTTGGGTTTTGAAACATAAATCTGTTTCTGTTCTTACTGTAACGTTAGGAAGAAAAAGGTGCAGTAGCATTTTTTTTTTGTCTTGATTTGTGTCTCTTGGATTTTCCCAGGAAAGATATCATCTTGAAAAGTAGAGTTGTGTAGCTTACCAAGGAACACCTGACCGTTCTTTTCTTCGATTGGGTCAGGGTGCGTAAGAATTGTTGGGGAGGATGATGGAGCACCTCTTGTATGTTCATTTCGGTTGAGAGGAAGAAGCCGGACATTTGTTTATTCTTTGAGTTTGATATGTGTCTCTGCAGTGGTCCCCGGACAATTGGGCAGCGATGTTCAGGGCTCCCAGGGTGGTGGGTTTAAACACAGCTCGGCCATGGCCTTCAGGGCTCAGTACCAAACGCTTTTAGGAGGAAATGCAAACTCCTCGGTGTGACTTTCAACCTAGCAGTTTGGGGTGCCAGACTTCTGCTATTCCTATTTTCTTCTACTTCTCCCCAGACCTTGCTGCCCTACTGCAGGCTGCGTTCTCCGCTGCGTGCTTCGTTTTCCCATCTCTGCGCTCTGGCGATGGCCTCAGCTTCGCGTGCTTTTACCTCTTCATTTTTGCATCTCGTCTTTTCCGCCTGTGTGCCCGGCTCAGAGGCACAGTCCTCATGATGCTTTCCTGGGTCTGAACTGGTAGCCCCAGGCAGCTCCCATTCTCCTCTTCCTCTGGGCCCACTGAGCTCTGCCTGGCTGGCTGGCCTCAGTCCTCTCCTGGGGGCCCAGCCCAGCTGGGACTCGGTGAAAGGTGTCTGCGGTTAACTTGGCTGGAGTAACTACCCACCCCGGCAGGGCCTCACTCTGTCCCCTCCGAGGTCGGTCAGCCACAGCAGTGACTGAGCAGTGCTCAGGGTCGGGACTCCCTCTTCTGCTGAGGCCAGTCTTTCTTCTCTCTCCTACATGTGACGTATTTAGAGAAATGGTTAGCCTGCTGGCGTGCCAGGGAGAAGATGCCATTTAATTTAAGATTTTTGGACTGATCACTCTTTCTTCACACTGCTTTCCTTGAATTTGAACCCCACATAAATATTGTGCACTTCAGTACTCATCTGATGGACAAACCAGTCTTGTAGACAGCCACTTGTCTGGAAATAACAAAAAATGAGTCCAGTTTTATTTATTTATTTTTCCTGAATATAATTACTTGTTTGAATATGGTCAGCCTGTGAGAAATTATCCGTGAGAAAAGGCTGATTGTTACCTTGTTCATAGAGAGGGTATAAAATGGCTCGCTCAGTTCCTGATTTTAAAAAGCTTACTTGGCTATTAGTTAAGAAGAATTATAGCAAATACAAATGGATGAAAAATGAAGCTCCCTCATATTCAAGTATATTCAGTAAGAAGAAGGAAGGTAAAGCAGGACTGTTTCCTAAAGTATCTACATCATTGAGCCTGTGGGCCATTTGGTGGCTAAACTGGGCAATAATTGCTCTAATTTTCTATCTTACTTGGTGTTGTGTACACATAACCAGTCCAGGGTATCCCTGACTTGGTGAGAATGCGTGATGACCGTGTTTCCCTGGACAGCTCAGTCCATCTGTGGCCCGAGGAGTGTCCCCTCTGGAGCCCTTGTACTGACGGTGGCAACAGTCATTGTTAGCAGGCGCTCTGGCGTCTTTTGTCTCCGGCCTGCAGCATTTTTACGTCTTCCACCTCTGGTCTCCTTGAGTTATGACAGTCAGCAGGCCCTGCCAGTGAGGGGGAAGATCGTGTGAACAGAAGGTCTGACCGGGAGGCGGGGTACCTGGGTGCTAGCTAGGCAGGTGACAGCCAGGAGCCAGCTCACTGTGCACCCTTAGACCTCGTCCCCGCTCTGAACTCTGGTTTCCTCATCTCGAAAATAGGGAAATTAGACCAGGTGATCTGTTGGTTCCCTTCTGGCCCGGGCATGCTGTTCTGAGGGGCCGCGGGGCTGAAGTCACAGCGTGCGCGTCCGGCTGAGCATGCTTTCCCACGCCGGGCCTTGGGCAGCCCTGAGGGCTCAGCCACCCCTGATGCAGGCCCACTGTGCAGCTCGCTGGTCTGGGGGCTGTAGGGTGCTCAGTGCCTCTCCCTTCAGGGAGCTGCGGCCATGTAGGAGTGGACAAGAGCCCTCTCCTGACAACAGTGGTTCTGGAACCCAAGGTGCGGATTCCAGAGACACAAATGCGGGAGAGTCCGGTTCTGATGGGAGGGCGAGGGATCCGGGAGGGCTTCAGCTGGAAGGCGGCACTTGGGTGCCATCAGGTGAGCAGAGTTGAAAGAGAGGAAGCTCATCAAAGGTGGGAGCAGGAGAAGGGGGCTGAGAGGTGAGCCCTGCGCGGTGAGTTGAGGAAGGGGGGCTCTTGTGCAGAGGGCGAGCAGGCGGTTCTCAGTGAGCAGGAAAGCGGGCTGGCACCAGAAGGCAGGGGGCCTTGAGGTCAGTGAGAACCAGGCCGGGTTTGGCTCAGAGCCTTCCGCCTTAGGGTAGCAGGTGATTCTTCTGCCTTTAGGACTGCAAATGGGGCTACGAGGTCCCCTCCTCTACAGCAGTGGCTCCCAGTGGAGGGTGATTTTGCCCCATGGATTCGTTCTTGATTATCATGACTGGGGCGTGCCACTGGCACCTAGGCTGGGGGCCAGGAATACCTCCCAGTGTGCTAAGTGCCTCACCGGAGGGACCTCCCCTTCCTTCCGGCAACTACTACTCCATCCAAGATGTCAGTGGTTGAGAAACTCCCACCTAGAAGCTTATCTTGGCAAATACCCCCAGAGGTAGTCTTCCCAAGCTATTTTACCATCTCTCTGGGTCACATGTTTTAAGAGAGCTGAAGTGATGGGGGCAGGAGGAGAAAAACGTTTGTACCAAGTTTGGGCATGAATGTTCTTTGTTTTGGCCCTGGCATTTCCCCAGAGCCCGGTTCCAGTGCTGGGGTATCAGAGGTGTAGGTGGGGTGCATATCACTCCTCTGTTTGCCGTGCTCTGCTCAGGCAGGGGTCATCTTCCCCCACCCAGGACCCCTGCACCCTCCTTCGCTCTGCCATGCGTCCTGTCTCGGTAGCTGTGGTCCTGGAAGTGCTCTCTGTTCCCACAGGACAGGCCCCACCAGCACCCCCAGCCAGCCTGGGGCCTGGTGCAGGTGTGCTGGGTGTCTGTGCATGGGTGGAAGGAGCATGTCCTGCTACTGGCTGCCCTTCTGAGTGAGGGTCTTACCCCGAAGGGCCACCATCGGGAAGAAGCTCTGGTGACTCCTCATTTGGTGGGAGCGCTTGGTATTTCAGAGAGCCTTCATGGGGTGAAGGCTCTGGAAGGGTATCCCTGCTGCCCCCAACAAGCATTTCACGCCTTAGCTGATTTTCCAGATAAGTTTAGTCATGGCCTTTGAAGCAGAATACTTTGTGTGGTGAGAACAGCACGGTGACGTGATCAGACCATGAAATGTATTTGAAAACCAAGTTTTGAATGAAATTAGTATCTCCGACCACTGCAGGTGGCAGCTTATAGGACTTTGATGTGAAGAGCTCTACCAGAAACAGTGGTTTTTTTTTTGAAGACTGCATTAATTAGCTAAAATACAAAGATGTTCAATTATAAAAAGGTTGATTTTCAGATGCATCCCTGTATTCTAAACAAGCTGATATTTCTAGATTGTCTTTGTCTCAAAAGTGTCCTATTTGAAAATTTAAAAACTGTTCCGGTTTTAAAAAACATTAAGTTCTTTAGGCAAGGCTAGGGACAAGTCCTTCAGCCAGCATAGGATCTTCACAGTGGAAAAGTAAGTCAGATGGTTTATATTCGCTCATTCAGCAAACATTTCCTGAGTGCCTGCTGTTTGCCAAGCACTGTCTTTGGCTCTGGGGTTACAGCAGGGGATGAGGCAGAGTCCCCACCCTCTGGGGACTTTGGGATCAATGAGAGGGACAGCAGACAAAGGACTATCATGTAATTGTAGTGATGAGTGCCACGAGGAGAAATCAACCGAGCAAGGGCTCCGTGCTGGGGCAAGGGCAAAGAGGGCGTGTTCGTGGCTCAGGGACAAGGTCAGGCCCTCTGAGGGGGGGTGTCTGAGCAGAGACCATGGTGCGGTGAGGGGCCAGAAAGCCCGCAGGCCTGGAGAAGCAGTGTTCCTGGCAGCAGGAACAGCACATGCAGGCGCCCAGGACAGGAGTGAGCGTGGAGATCGGGAGGAGGGGTAAGAGCACCTGTTGGGGGCCAGGAGCGGTGGAGCAGGTGAGGGGTGGGGGTGGGGGACAAGGTCTAATGGGCCTTGTAGGTTGTGGCCAGGAAATTGGATTGTACCTGAGCGTGATGGCAAGTTTATTGAGGGTTTTGAGCACGATCTGATTAGCTTTCAATTTTGTGGGGGTGCTATGCAGAGGGAGACTTGATTGAGGGCACACAGGGAGATGGTTCAGGCCGCCTAGCCGCGGAGATCACAGTTCCTGCCCTGGAGGTGTGGGGCAAGGTAGGCTGGGGCTGAGAGTGTGGTGGCCTGCGGGGTTGGGCGGATGTTGTGAAGCAGGGCGGAAGCCCGCGGTGGCCTCTGAGAGTGGGCTTAACACCCGATTAATGAGAGCCGCCTGCTTTGGGGAGTCAGGGAAGAGTGCCGTGTGTGATTGCTGTGGGTTGGCCATGGGAGACCTGATGCACGCCTGCTGAGTAAGGTGGGTACAGCTGCCCGTGTCCGCCTGGAACTTAAGAGAGGGGTCTGGACTAGAAATACAGATTTGGGAGGTATCAGTTTATAGATTGTATTTACACATTTTTAAGCATATTTTATATAATCCAGTATACTTAAAATACTGTCATTTGGACACACAATATAACATTTATTAATCTTCTTTCTTTAGAATAAGTTAAGCCTTTGAAAGTTTGTATATATTCTGTATTTAATCACATCTCATTTTGGACACTAGGCTTTCAACGGTTAAAAAAAGTGAAATATCCAAGTAAGGCAATAAAGTTGTGTTTAATAGAATAATCATCCTCTGATCCATTTTTCACTCCAAATACTTCCAACACCAAATGTGGAGGGTTTTCACATGGAGTAATTCCCAAATTCCCTGCAACCAGCAAACAGGCTTCCTACCATTTAAATTCAGTTCTGACACTAATGACCCAGAGTAGAACAGACATCACAAGTTAAGGGCTCAGACCCACAAGACTGCTCCCACTTCAGATGCCAGCCATAGGTAGGTCTCCAGCTTACCCGCACTTCTGCCCAACTTGGCTGCAAACTGGGGTGTCCTACAACCCCTTCTCAGGTTTGACAATCAGCTGTAACTGCTCATAGATGTTAGTGGAACCCTTAGGTTTACTGGCTTATTATAAAGGGCATGATAAAGGATACATATGGTCAGCCAGATGAAGAGGTACGTAGTGTGAGGTCTGGAAGTTGGGGCGTCCCATGGTGTTGGGGTGCGCATGTGTGTGCGTCACCAGCCTGGAAGCTTTCTGAACCCTGGAGCCTTGGTTCCTCTGGCACTCAGCCCCGTTCCCAAGAGCCACCTCATTAGCATAAACTCAGGTGTGGATGGAAGGGGCTCATGACGAGTAATACACTGCGTTCCTCTTGACTCTGTCACCCAGGAAATTCCAAGGGTTTGGAAGCGCTGTGCTGGGAACTGGGTACGAAGACCAAATGTATCTGTACTGTATCACAGCAGCACATATTTTTCACTGCTTTTGTTCAGAATTTGGCATTTAAAGCCATGAAGTGGGGAAATCCTCTAGGGAGTGAGGACCCCAGGGCCCTTGTGCATTTAGAGGCCAGGTGGATAAGAGCCCAGTGAGGACCTGGGAGCTGAGAGACGGTGTCCAGAGGAAGGATGGGCACCATGTCTGATGAGCTCTGGGCAGTGGTGCCTGGATTTAGCAAGGTAGTGTCATGGGAGACCTTGGCCAGGGCAGTGAGGCAGGCAAAGAGCTGGCTTAGAGTGGTTGGAGAGAAAGTAGAGGTGGGGTCAGTGCAGGTATGCAGCTCTTAGAAAGGATTTTGCTGTAGGGAAACAGATAAATGGGGTTTGACCTGGAGAGGGAAAGCTGAGGAAGGGTGTTTTTGGTGGGAGTGTTGGCTTGGCCTGCTTCCTGGATGAGATGAGGGAGGTAAGGGTGTATATCTGTTCTTCCAGCAGTTTTCCAGTGGAGGGCACGGGTGTAAGGCAGGTGGGCTCATAGCTGTAAGGTCAGTGAGTTGGCAGGTGGCAGTAGACCCTGTGCACAAGGGGCTGGTGGCCCTGAGCCTGGAGCAGGACTGGGAGGCGAATGCAGCGGTCACAGGTAGGTCAGTTCCATGCATCGAGCCTCTGTTTCCCTAGCAGTAAGTCAGGAGGAAAGTACTGGGCATTGTTCCTCTGTGGACTAAACCAAGTGAGGGATGTGAGCGTGCCGATAAGTGATGGGAATGCATTCAGGTGTGCTTCCTGATGCAAAATAAGATTTTATAGAATGTGGCCTTTTGTTGGGGAAAGAACTTGCACAATGCTGTTCTCCATGAAACAGGTAAAGACGAGGGTTTGTGCACCCAAAACCATTCCATTGGGACGCCCTGAAGTGTAAACACTTTTTCTCTTTTTCAGAAATGGATATAAGTTTCTCTACTGCTCTGCACGTGCCATCGGGATGGCGGACATGACCAGGGGCTATTTGCACTGGGTCAACGAGAGGGGCACAGTGCTGCCCCAGGGGCCCCTGCTGCTGAGCCCGAGTAGCCTCTTCTCTGCTCTGCACAGGTATGGCCCTCGGCTTGTCCCTTCCCGCCCTTCCTCTGCACCCCAGTTCCAGCTCTCTCTTCTCCCTGGACATTTGGCAAGAATAGCCTGGTAACTTGTTTTCTCCAACCAGTATTTCCATTGTGGGTGCCAGAGAAATCATCCTCAAATGCAGGTCTAGCCCTGCCAGCCTGTCAACACCCTCCTGGCTTTTGGGATCACGTCCAGATTTGTTAGCTGAGTACCATGTCCCCTTCCTGACCTGTCTCTGCCTTCCGCTCCAGTCTCAAACTCAGTCGAGTTGAACGGTCCCTGTTTTCCAGAATGATGTTCTCTGCTTCAGCCTGTGCACGTGCTGCTCCTCTTTGGTGGGCAGCTGCCCCTCCTTCTCCCCACTCCCTGCATTGCCAGACTGAGTCTTAATGACTGTGAGTAATCGGGGACCTAGTCTGGGTTAAGTGGCCCCCCACCAGCTGCCATCATCTACCTGGCCCTGGACTCCCATAATAATTGTCCTCTGAGAATTGTGGTCACACTGTTTATTTTAACCATCCTCTAACTGACCACTAGCCAGTTTCTGACTGCCCTCCTCCCTTTACTGTGCAGGGCAGCTGAGGCAACAGGTCTGGCCTCCTGGGCTGGCGGGGGGAAGATTAGGCTTCTCCGTAGCTTGAGGCCCAGAGCAGTTTCCCAAAGCATCATCTATTGTCACAAGAGGACAGTGGTCCTGCCACAGGGTGGTTGGTTGTGTGTGTGTAAGATTCAGTGAGAGGCTTTGGCATGATTCTGCCTCAAGTTGAGGACCGGATTAGGTGCCAGCTGCTGCCAGCCTTGCAAGCAGCAGAAGGAATCCAGATGGGCCCAAACGCCCTGGTGCTTCCTCTTGAGTTTTTCCTTGAGCTCTACAGACACCTTTTCCCTCCAGCTTTCTTTTGTGTGAGTGGAAGTTTTATCCTGTGGTAAAAGATCTCACATTCTGGGGAGGAAATTCAGGCAGAACCTTTTGATGCCAGAGTGTATTTTAAGCCCTAAAAGCTGTCATGACATTGTAGATGTCAATAGAAATCCAGATATTTTCATGAAATGCTGTCCCTGAGTTATGTTGATAGTTTGCAACGAGCTGTTCATTTGCATGTGTTAATAGTCAGGCTTTGCTAGGCAAAGTACAAAGTTGACATTATTACTCTCATACCCGACCACTACAAATAAATTGAGGGTCATCCTTTTCATTTTTTTCCTTATTTAAGTGTCATTATCCAAGATATATTACCTATTCCTTGTAAGCAGTTATGTTTAAAAACCCAAACAAGCCTCCCAGCTGTCTTCCCTCTTGGGGGGCGGAGGTGCTGCTGATGGCCATGGCCGACTGCCTGGTCCTTCCAGCCCGGCATTCCGGCGGAGTCATTCTGTGTGTTAGTTGTCCTGCAGAAGTTCTAGAACTGATGGGTGAGTCTGCCATGAACAGTGACTTGCGCTAGCAAGACACTTTCACTGGGTACAGTTCTGATTGTATCGCCTAGATCTAAGTTGGAAACAAGGAAAATAAAGTGGGTGGGTATGCATGCAGCACAGTGGGCAAGAAGGTGCTCTCACTAGAGGGGGTTCTGGAGTGGGCATCAAGAGCCCCAAGCTCTGATGCTGGCTGACGCCGGACTGATGGTGTGCCGAGCGGGTGCCTCTCCTTCCTGAGTCCTTTTCCTCAACTGTCCAGTGAGAGGGTTGGATTAGGTGATCTCAAGGGTCCCTTTCACTCTAAAATGCTATGATCCCAGGAAATATGTCTGAAAAAAGAAGTTGAGAGACTCTGTTTCACACACCTAATCTTTTTGTTCAGGGGCTTGTATTAAAGTAGAAATTTCTTTGAGTTATATGATTCTTTTTAGTTACCTGCCTTCTTTTGTTGTGGTGACAGAGCTATTCAGAAGATTTTCATAAATCCTGTTACTGTAGTGTACACTTTTAACAAGCATGGCCTGGTGTCATGATGAGTTGAGCTGAGAGGCAGGGCTGGACCAATTAGCCTCTGCAAACTTCCATGACTCTGGGCTACTGGACAGACTTGAAATTCTGGAGTTAGACGACAAGAGGCTGGCCTCTATCTCTGGGAAGGAAGAACCTAATCCATAGATAAGTGTGTTTCCCCTAACGGTTTTCTGAGCCACTGTGAGATGTGAATAAATAATGCTTGGTAGTCAGCGACAGTAACGTGTCTTCTGGATGTGTTGGGTGACCAGTGACTGTCAGCAAACTCAGATCATCCAAGAGAGAGGCTGTGCCAAGGAGCCATCTGTACTTCTCGCCATAGCAGTTCTCCACAGTCCTCATTGCTTATCCGTGGGCATCCTTACTGCCAAACAGGGAGCCTTGCACTTTGAAAGCACTGAGTGGCAGGGGGCCAACGAGACGTTTCCTTAGTGTGCACTGCTTACCCTATATATGTGCATGCAGACATCTTCCTCCCCGCCTCCTGCAGTGTGCAAGCATGTATGTGTGCAAGAGAGAGTGTGTGTGTGTGTGCATGTGCATGAGAGAGAGAGAGAGAGAAACTGAAGCAGGAAGTTGAAGTTGGCTGGTTTAAATCCCCAGTGGATTGGAGTTTGAGACTTAGAATCCTGTAGTCGCTCATGTATCTCTCTGCAATAGTCCTGAGTTGGGGGATGGTGGAAGACTCTTTCGGTGTCAAGGAGGGCTCTGGAGTCCACAGGAGTCAGTGCAGAGCCAGGACGAGGCCTTGGACCTTCTGACGCTCAGTTTGGTTGCTCTGTCATCACCACCATCATCTAAATGACATCTGAGTAGACACAGAAGAATGTTTCTGGAATACATGCGAAGCGTAAATGATAACCAAGCAGTGAACACCAGCATACCCACAACCAGTTAACAGTGAAAGGGCGCACTGTTACCCCTAAGTCCTGACCGCCCTCATCCGTCCCCGAGAAGGGATGTACTGCTGTCCCTGTATCTTGTGTTAATCATTCTCTACTTTTCTAAATAGTTTTATCACATGTATTTGTAATCCTAACCAGTATGTTTAATTGTGCACATTTGTGAGCTTTATATAATAAACAGATCATACATTCTTCTGGAGCTTGGCTCTTTTCCACTCAACATTATGTTATCAAAATTGCTGAGTGTAGCTGTAAGTCACTCATTTCTACCTCTGTATCGCATTCTGTTGTTTGACTGCCGTGGTTTATTTATCCATTCTACTGTTGGTGGTTACTTGAGCCACTTCCAGTTTTTTGCTATTAAAAGCAGTGCCTGCTGTGTGTGTCCCCTGGGGGCACACGTGCAGTGGCTGCTCCAGAGTACACACTGAGGAGTGGGATATCTGGGCCACAGCTGCACACATGCAGCTTTCTTAGGTCATTCCAAACCGTTCTCCAAAGTAGTCGAACCAATTTGCGCACCAACAGCAGTGCGTAAGTGTCCCATTTGCTCTGCTTTCTTGCCAACATGTTGTCAGCCATTTACATTTTGCTCCTCTGGTGGTTATGAAATGTCTTTTTTCCTATGTTTATTGGCCGTTTGGGGTTCATCTTCTGTGAAGTGCCTGTTCAAGTCTTTTCTCCATTTTCTCTTTGATTTGTGAGACTGTGTTATGGGCTTTGTATACATAGCCTTTGTCGTAAGTGCTGCAAACATCTTTTCCTAGTTTATGGCCTTTGATGAACATAAATTCTTAGTTTCACGCAGTTGAATGCATCATTTATTCTGCAGTTTGTGCTTTTTGTGTATTAGAAAACCTTCCTTGACTCTGGGCATAAAGATAATCTCTGATGTTAAATCTAAAGGTGTTGTCTTTCAAGCCAACCCAAGAGGAACTGATTTTGTATATAAACTGCAGAAAGGGTTCATTTTCAGTTTTTATTTTTCTCCTTATAGGACTATTCAGTTGTCTCAGCACAATTTACTGAAATCCTGCCTTTCCCTCCTGCTTTGAATTGTCATTGTGGCCATACATCAAGGGTCCATAAATGTCTGGTTCTGTTTCTGGCCTTTGCTTGTCTGTGTAGCTATTAGAGTCAAGTTCTGTAAAAACATACAGATGAAAACCTGTTGAGAGTTTGATCAGAATTACAATGAATCTATAGATCATTTTGGGGAGAGTTAATATCCACTTATAATATTGAATCTTCCAGTTCAGTTATCTAGTATATTTTTCCCTTTATTTAGATTTTCCCTGATATATTTCAATGAAGTCTATAATTTTATCCATAAAGGTCTGGCACATCATCTAATTAGGTTTATTCCTAGACATTAGATATTAAAAATTCTATTTATAGAATTATATTTTCTACCTGTTTGTTTCTGATGCATGAAAATGCAGTTGATTTTTATACATTGACTTCTTTTGTACATGAATTTTATAGTCGGCAATCTTACGAACTCTTACTAATTCTGATAATTCATCTGTAGGTCCTTTTTCATGTAGACATGTTTTTGTGAATAATGACAGTTTTTTCCCTTCCTTCCTAATCCTCACAACCTGTATGATCATCTTACTTCACTGCCCTGGCTGAGACCTGCCGTGCGGCGCTGAATCAAAACCTATGCTGTAGGTTTCGAGTATCCCTACTATGCCTGGTTTAAGAGTTTCCGTCTTGATTAGATGCTGAATTGTATCAAATGCCCTGTCTGTATCTAATGAGAAGATCATGTTTTTTTGTCCTTTCATCTGTCAATGTGTTATGTTACATTAATTGATTTAAAGTATTCAATTATTACTGCATTCCTGGAATAAACCTTTTTATACTCTGCTGCAGTCAGTTTGCATACATGTATTTATTTAGGATTTTTGCGTTGACTTTCACATACGGGATTGGCCCGCACTTTGCTTCTTTCGGTCTGTTTTTGAGATTATGCTGGCCTCATAAAATGTGTTCAGAGATGTTCTCTCTTTTTCTGTGCTCTGGAATTCTTTGTTCCTTGGGTGACTGGTAGAGGTCTTTGGTGATAGCGCTTGTCCATTAAGTTTTTTTTTGTGGAAAGACTGAAAAGTACAGATTCACTTTGTCTAGTGCTTTTCTGGGATGGTTTAACTGACTTACATGTAATAACTTTTGAAGATACGAAAATGTTTTTAGTGCCATGGCATCTTTGACATTTATAAATAGTTTGGTGCTAATGAAGCTATCCTCTCATGCTGATCTTATTTATTTGTTTGTTTTAACAGAGAAGTGATTGAAAAGAAGCCAGAAAAATTTAAAGTTCAGTGTTTGACAGACATCAAAAACCTGTTTTTTCCAAATACAGAACCCTTTTATGCTGCCTTTGGAAACCGACCGGCTGTAAGTAGTGGATTGAGTATATAAGAGCTCTTGAAATTACTATCTTTTCTGGCAGCAGTTGTCTGAAGACTGGCCTAGACTACAAGTGAAGCCAGATTCTCATCCTTACTAGAAATATCTGGTAAAGAGCACTTGCTTACATCCAGAGTCAAGGAGATTGTAAATTATTTCAAGGCCTGTGTAATTGTTTTCTTTGAAGGCTGGTTAGTAGATTTCAGCATGAAGCTTGAAATGTGGGATTAGAAACTTCAAATACCAAAATTACTTGCAAATAGTGAAATAAGAACATTGAATAGATCCTTCTATCAGAAGGGACTCAAAAAGCCAATCCTTAGTACAATGGTGAATTCAGCATCACAAGTTTTTGTTATTTTGTTATTTTCTATTTTATCTGAATTTAATTTTGTTTTATTTTTATATCAAAGTATGTTGATACCGATTATATCAGAGTTGCTAGTTTTAAGAGTATTGTTTCATGTGGTAAAAGAAATGCTTTGAGATTTTGTACTACCCAAATTTGCTGGGAAGTTCAGTTTTCTGGAGGATATAGTTGGGTTCTAACTTCCCAGTAAGAAAATTCTGCTTTTGAAACCCATGCCCGAGAAAATGGGTCAGAGAATCAATCACCTTAAGGAATGTTAGATTCGTAGGGGACATGTTGGACGCTTTACTCTTCAATGCAGTTTTTGAATAGATGTGTGAACTGAGGCCCAGATGGAAAACTGATCTAATAGTATCATATCCAGAGATACTCTTTGTCTATAGGATTTGGAACTATAGTTCAGGTGAATGAAAATTTTATATTGCCTCAAATCCAAAATACCATGTACTTGTATTTACAATGTACTCTTCTTTTTTCCTAATGAACGCTTTGCTACATATAGGATGTGTATTCATATAAACAAGTAGGAGTTTCCTTGAACAGAATATTCACTGTCAACCCCAAAGGTGAACTTGTACAGGAACACGCCAAGACCAACATCTCCTCGTGAGTACCGTGCGCACGCGGTGTGAGTCCTGTGTCATGACCATTGTGCTCTTAATCTTGGAATGGTGTTTCACAGTTTATACTCTGTCTTTTTATCCTCTTGCCATAGTTTAATCTTTAATTCCTACAAGGAAAAATATTTTAACTCCTTGTATTTTGTCAAAACTTAATTGTTGGACAATCTGAGTTAAGTCAGATTCCCTCTGGGTCAAAATTTAAACTTGCGGGTAGGTCCTGCTACAGAGTGGTGTCGAATGAATTTTAAAACTAGTAGTTTAAATATGCCAAGTTAGGTATGGAAGCCTAGAAGGCAAATTAGAAATGTATCCAAACTGAAGTATCCAACGAAGCAGTATTTAAAGGTGAGGAACGATGCATCTCTCCCCACGCTGACCTGTAAGAGTATTCTCACCAGAAACACTGCAGAATTCCTCTCATACTTTTGGTTGAAGCCTGGTTTCCCCAAGGCAGTGGCTGAATTAGGCTTCTATTTGTGACGAGGCGTGCCAGCTTGCTGTAGAATCTCCTGGACTTCTATGTGTCTCCCTTTGGGATCCCACCTTCTTCAGTGGAGAGTGTTTTCTCATCCCATGTGTTGGGGAGCTTTGCCCAGTGGGGGACATCAGCAGACAGGTGTCACCCTGCGTTGTCTGTTTTGCAGGCTGCACCTCTTTTGGCCTCATCTGTGCAGACCTGGAACCTACCCTCAGGTCTGGGCTACCCCGGTGGCCTCTGGGGCCCACTCATGGGAAGGAGTTGGACTGGGGAGTTCGGTTCTTTTGGCTTCCTAGGGATTGGTCTTCTGGGCACCTCCTTTGTTTTAGAAGATGAAAGATGTAGGTTCCCCCTCAAGCAGATTTTTTTGCTTTCAAGATGACCTTTTTGTGGCTGTAGTGTACTCCAGCTTCCTGGGGCAGTTGCAGGCTATAGGGGCCCTGGGGCCTATCCACAAGCCTCCTTGCCCCTCAGTCATGCCAGTTCCTAAGTGGTTCTCCAGAGAGGTGGAGAGAGAGGGGAGGCTGGGCCACGACCCTCCTCCATCTGCCCTGTGCTTCCTGATCGTGGAACAACAGCTGAGCTGACTTACTAGCCCTTTCCTTGCGGCTTCTACCCATCTACATGGCCACACTGACAGCCGCGGGGGTCCCATCCCTACTCTCCCTCGTTCCCATCGCAGCACATGCCCACGTGAAGGGTTTCCTCAGGCTGGCAGAGATCTAATAGATTTCTGTTTAGGGTCAAAAGAACTCTCAGCTGATGAGACACTGCCCAGAAATGGCAAAGGTTTCTGCCTGGGCAGCCGCCAAGTAGCAGGTCTTGTCATGGGCACAGAGAGAGGGATTCTGGCACCTGCGGGCTCAGCACAGGAGACCTTGAGGTTCTGCCATTCACTGCGACGTGGGTTAAAATGCACGCTTTGCCCGTGCCTCGGCCTGGGTGGATCTCTGCACGGGAGAACACGTTACATACTGCCAAAGGATGCTGTCATCTGACACTGGGTTGGGAGACAGGTTGTTCCTGTGAGAGAGTGACTCTCCCCAGGAAGACACCCTTCTCTGACACGGAACCTCATACACCAGCATTTCAAAGCTGAGTAGGTGCCTGCCCCTCGGACGCTGTGTGAGAATCTGGTGGAACGTCTTCAGACGGATGCTGAACTTCAGCGTTTTCTGCCATTGTTTGTGACCTCAGCACATGAGCTCTGCGTGCTCTGGAGGACCTGTGCTTGGAGGGGGCTTCCGAGAGAGGCATGCAGTGGAGCTCAGCCCCTGGCTCAGCACAGGAGAGTTGATTTGCAGCTGGCGCCCAGTTCCCCCAGCAGTGGACAGTGAGCAGCTATCTTCAGGGAGGGGCTGCCTCCCAGAGCCACAGAACTCAAATGCATGGGTCTTAAAGCCAGGAGGTAGTTTAAGAATTTGTTGTAATCCCCAGGAAAGACATAATTCTTGCCTATTAAGAGAGATTTTTCTCATTTGGTGCAAGCATGATATTTCTCCTAAACCCTTTGGGGATCCTTTGTAAAATGCACATACTCATTTAATAAGTTATTTTATGCTTCAGAGCATGCTAATTCCTGGAGTTTGGATTTTGAAAGCCCGTTTTAGTTCTTAGCAAATTGGAACTAGAGAGTTAACACTCAGGGAGGATTCTGGGGAGGGTCAGAGAGGCCTGGGCTCGTCAGAATCTCTGGTTGGAGGTGCCCGGGGTCTGAAACTGAATGCTCAGTACTGCAGCTTTCCTTTTGTAATGTGGGCCGCAGGGACTGACATGCAGCCTCTTCTTGGGAATACCTAAGGAAATAGGATGAAGGGATATTGCAGGGAGCATTGAAAAACACTGATCTGGACAATGGCATGCTCTAGAAAGATGAAGGGCCTGGGGCCCAGAGAGAGAAGACACTTGGTCAAGGTCACACAGCAAGATGACCGGAAGTAGATCCTGGGTGCTTGATTCTCAGTCTAGCTAAGTCTTTTTTCCCTAAAGCTCATAACTAGCCAGGGCTAATTATTTCCTCATGTCATTTTTATTGACTAAGTGTGTTGAGCTTCCAGCATACATCATTTTATTGCTGCGTACATTATTTTATTTAATTCTTGCACCCTCATCGTGGCAGTTTTCATTTCCTTCCCTTTATAGTAGAGGAAATTGTGGCTTAGAGAGATGAAGCCTTTGGCGGAGATCATACAGCTAGTAAATGCAGAGCTGAAGGTCAAACCCATGCCTCTTTAACCCCCAAGGCCCAGGGGCTTCTCCTTGCCCAACAAGCAGTCTCTGATGCTCCAAAGGTGTGCCTCAGCTGTGACTTTCCCCTGCCCGATGCCCCATGTGAGTTCTGTGGTGGAAGGCTGCCCCTGCCACATCCTCTGTGGCTTCTGATCTGCCTGCCTTCGTCCGTACTTTGTGCCAAGTCAGGTCCCACCTGCCCTGCCTGCAGGGCCTTCTCTGATCCCTCGGTGGCATGCTGTTTGACGTCCTATCACCAGTGAGGAATTCGTCCCAAATGGCCTCCTTTGTGCTTGGCAGGCAGTCCGTTCCTTGGACTCGTAGGTGTCTCCTGACTTCCAGGCCCAGCTCAGGGTGCATGACGGGCATGCCACTTGGCTGGGTGTCCCTCTGACGCTATGATGTTGCCCATTTTCCTTCCAGATATGTGAGACTCTGTGAAGTGGTTGACCACGTTTTCCCATTGCTGAAAAGAAGCCATTCGTCAGACTTCCCCTGCTCAGACACTTTCAGTAATTTCACCTTTTGGAGAGAGCCACTGCCTCCTTTTGAAAACCAGGATGTACATTCTGCCTCAGCGTAAAAGGTTCCAGGCAACCTCCTGACGTCACATGAAGACCGCACACCCCCATTAAAGGAGAGGCTCTGGGAGCCATGGAGCCTGATGTGCAGTCATTTGCTTCAGAGCAGAGGGAGTTGAGCAGCATCTCGCCCACTGCTCCCTGCCCAGCGGCTGACATTTGGAAGTGAGATAGGGAGGGTGCAGTATAGGGGCAAGGCCTCAGGTGTGCGCATGGCGGAGAAGGCATTCCTGGGCTGGGGCTTACAGCCGCCGGAAAGTGCCCTTCCCAGCCGCCCCAGCAGTTGGTTACCATTAAAGTGAGGTTGACGCCCATCATACCTAAGCATAGAGCTGCAGGGGGTCCCCGCCGATGGTCATACCATTTGAGGAACGCCATGTGTGCCCGACTTCTGTGCTTGGCAGGAGGGCCGTGCAGGGTCACTCCGCTGGCATCTGTGGTCTCTGCAGGGATTCCAGCTTCACTGTGCTGGGCCTTGGCCTCGTGAATGTGCCCTCGCGGTATATGCTGACCGGTTGCATAGGTGATACGTTCTCCTCTAATGCCTTTGGTTAAAGGTAACCTATGTCATTGGCATATTTCCCCCCACTTGTGTGGTTCAAGGCTGGAATAGTTATGCCTTAATGTTTTTGTTTAGAATGTGCTTCGTTTGGCTCTTTGTAACTTTGCAATGCCTGAAGTTGAGATCATAGCGTATGTTACCAGGGCAGTATTTTGAATCAGCTCAGCACTCTGGCGGCAGCCTTTCATCCAGTGAGGAGGTGCTGAAAATGTGGACTTGAACAGAGCTTATGCCCAATGATAATGATGCCGATTTCTAGGGGAGTTCTCTAAAGAAACTGGTTAGTTTTAAGAAAATACTTTCAGGAAGTTGTATTCTTTGTAGATATTATTTATTATTTTACTCTGATTGGGTTACTATTATTAGCATTTTAGCCATATTCTTTCTACTATAACTGTCATTAATACATTAGAAAGATACACATGTTGGACCCAAAGAGCCTTATTTTGTATATAGCTCGCGACACTGACCTTCTTTTGGGTTTGATGGGTAATACTCTTTTTTTTCCCTTACCTTTTCCACTCAAATTAAGGGCAAGTGGATAAGTAATAGTTTGAGTGTCATTCTTTACTGGTAGAAAATGATTCTTTTACTTTTTTATTAAATTGGCTTGTGGAGAGAACAATTTGAAAAGTGAAAGAATTATTTTGGTAAAAGATTTTGCTTTATTTTTTTAAAGAACATTTTGCTCCAATGATTGAAGTGCTTTCCTATTTAAGTTGCATTGTTAGAGTTAGAGGAGGCAAAAAATGGAACAGTTGAATGAAATTATACTCTTTCTATGAAAGAAAAACCCAAGGGGCTGCCTTCCTTGTGGTGGCAGGCTCTGGCAGTGGAGGCCTTTACTCAGCAGTCCGCGCGGCCCTACAGAGAGAGGCAGACCATAGTTGACTGCAGATGGGTCCAGAAACACGAACGTGCTTGTGCAGTTCCCTTTTGGAGGCACTCAAATTAATTGAAAATAGCCTTACCTTAACTACCCTGGGCTTGTTCATTATTGACCTTTAGAGGCTAAATGAATTCTTCCTGTCATGAGGTATTTTGGGGTGAAGTTTAAATTGTGACCTAAGTATAGCTCCTGGGCCTGCAGAGGTGACAGCATCTCCCTTGTGCTGGGGGGTTTGCCTTTGAGACTGGCAGCATATCCCTCATGCCATTCACCCATCACTGGGATGACTCTCCACATGGAGCTGTGAGAGCACGCAACCTTGAGCTCCTAATTTTGATCCACTTTTGGCTTCCACACCGCTGCACTCTGACATAGAGCCCACCTTCCACCAGAAAGTCACCCTCTTGGGTCTGTGTCAGATCCAGAGTGTGACCCCTGGAGAGTCTGTAACATTCACACCTGGCTTGTGGCTTCAGAAAATGAGATTTGTGCCAGGGCTGCCACTCATGCATTTGTGAGTTGGTTTATCTGAATCTATACAGTTATGACCAACCTAGTAACCCTGTGCTCATTTTGCTAGAACGCTGTGTTTGGACCACATGTTTCAAGGTTGCTCTTTGGAAATGAATCACCCACAGTGATAAGTCATCAAATGTTCATCACATGTGATGGAAAAACTGTATATACTTAGTACATAGAAAAATATGTACTGGGTATGTTGGAGAAATGGTTACATCTGCGAAGAGAATTCCCTTTTCAATTTTATGTTTGGCTTACCCCTTTAAATATATTTTATTTACAACACTTGATCTGTATTTATATTTGCTCGTGCAATGATAAAATCACTGTAATACTCCTTTGTGTTGTGCTGGGTGCAAAGGTAGAAAATATTTTAATAAATGAGACTGATGAAAGACTTAATCATGTGTGTGGATTTTAAATAGTTTTGGTAAGATATTAAGTTGCTGATTTTCTAATGTGTGGTATCAAGCATATCATTCTCTATTGAAAAAATGCTTAAGCCTATGAAGTGTTCAATATTTGGAATAAAAGAGTCAGTCTTTTCTGATGCCTTTGGTGCAGTATTGACCTTCTGGTGCACTTGGGAGGGTAGGGAGGAGGGGTGAAGTTGTGAGGAGGGGGCTGCAGGGAGGGCTTGGTTAGCTGTGCATGCGGTGCCTCCCTGGGCCTGGCCCCCAGTCGTTGGTAACAGGGTGGTCACACAGTGGGTTCTGTTCTGGGTTCTCATGAGATGGTCAGGCAGGTGCAGCTGCCAAGAAGAAGGGCGCAGGAAAACAAAGGTGTTCATTCTCAGATTCCTGAAATGGGAGGCAGGCTACTCCACATGGAGCCTCATGGAAGGCACGAGGGTGGAAAGGAGGCCGAAGTGGCTGGAGAGGGGCGAGCCTAGGCCAGGGCCTTCATTGGGGTTTCCACGGGAAAGGTAGGCAGGGAGGGTGACGAACAGCTCAGGATCGGCTGGTTTGAATCATTTCAGCAGCCTCTGAGCTGTAAGGGTGCTCTCCTACTGGCTGGCGCCTGGCCCCGGGATGCCTAAGACAAAGGAATATGGCACAGGCTAGATAGAGGAGGTCCGGCCCAGGACTGGTTACTTTGTGTATCACCGGCGTGCTCCAGCGGGCCCTCTGCTGGCTCTAGAAGGCTAGCCAGTCTCCCCAGCCAGAACACGAACAATGCGCGGGAAAGAAAGGTATAAACAGTAAAGGTGCCCTAGCCGCACATTCACTGGTCTCATTTTTTGGACTCATTACTTCTGTGGTATAACAAACTTTGAACAAATTAGAACGCTTGACTAGTTCACCAAGATAACTTGAAAACTCAATTCCTATTGATCTTGTGCATCATTGACATGCCTCAGACATCCTATTGATTTACCTGCATCAGCCTAAGTGTTTTTGGGATAAATGTAAGAGTATTGGTCCCTAAATGCTTTAAAGATGCCTGCACAGGGGAGCAGGCTGAGCTCCTCATAAAGCCCAGATCCAAATAGTTCATTTCTGGACTTCTGTAGAATTAATGCTCTTGTATCTTGAAAATAAAACAAAGGCCTCCCCTTTAGTTGAACATCACAGATTAACTCCACCTCTGATTTCAGACTGTGGGCCTTTGTAAAATAAGAATCAGAATAAACTGTAGTCTTTGGCCAGGGATCCCCACTTGCTCCCGCCCTTCACCACCTTTCCTTCTGAGGTGCCACTAGGCTATGCTGTTGCCATTCGGTGCAGGCGGCTCTCACCGTGCAGGGGAAACCAGCCACGCAGCTCGAGTTTCCCCAACATCAGCTGTATTCATCTCAATATTTAAAATACTTCCTATTTTGATGTTCAAAATTGACACACCCTGCCAGACTTGGAACCAGCCAAGGAACATTGATGGTGGGGTCAGTGACCACCAGCTTTGGGCCTCGAAGGTCATGCGTGCTGCCTGGTGCCATCCTGGGACGGGAACAGTCATGGGGGGAAGGTTAAGCAGCTCTCATTCAAAAAGATTTAAAGCCCCCTGGAATCTGAAATTCCTCACTCGGGCAGGAGTGTTGCCCTCCCCAGCTGTTCCAGGGGAGCTCTGTTGTCACCATCTCTACCCCCCTGCTCCCCGGGTGCATCTGTATTTTGTCTTCAGATGAGCGGCACGGGCCCCGGGGGTGGTAGGAGGGCATCCTGTCTCTGTCCAAAACAAAAAGGTGGTTAAAATGCCACTGAGGTCTCCTTCCTGCTTCTGACCCCTTTTCCAACTCCTGCTGCAGTCGAGGTGGTGAAGTGTCACTATTACTGCACGAAGGCTTGGTGCCCAAAGGAAACCAGAATATGACAGAAGCTGGCTCTGGAGATCAGCGGGCTCCAAATGGCCACTTGGGGCACAGTCAGTTTTGGTAAGAACGTCGTCCCTGCTTGATAAAGGCCCTCCCTATGGTGCTTGCCTTGGAGATCAGCCACGTGTGTGGTGGGCTTGTGGGGAGTTCCCTGGAGGGGGCTGTGTGGGTACCAGAGTGCCTCCAGTCAACACAGCCCAGGTCAAACATCACTAACTGGCTTAGAGGAGGAAGCAGTTGTGGCTGCTGTGGTTCAGGTCTAAGAACCATCTAGATTTATTCTTAAGGGGTGATCTCCAGCCTACAGCTCCAACATCAGGGGGCTTGTTAGAAATGCAAGTTCTCGGGCCCTACCCTAGACCTATTGAGTCACAGTGGGCATGGGGCCCACAACCTTTGTTTAAATCCACCCAGGATTCCAGTGCCCACTCAAGTTCCAGACCATATACCTGAGGCCGGATCCCGAGAGGTCGCTTCTGTAATGCAGCGACGGACACCTACTTCAGTCTGGCCTGGCCGGAGCAACAGTGCTGGAGAGGGGAGGCCCCTGAGCCCAAAACAGGGGCTCCATTGAGTCACATGGCCCTGTGGTGACCTTTGGTACACAGATGCCAACCTGAGCCATCTTTCTGGGCTTCTCAGGGTAAGTTGGTCCTCGCTGGGAGGGGACTCTGCTTGCGACCAGGCTGGGCAGCCCAGTACATGTGAATAGCAGACCTGGGCTGTGCCTAGATTTCTGATGGCTCCGTTCCTCCCCCAGATCATGGGGCCAGGGGGTGCTGTCTTGATGCCAGCAATCTTTTCACTGGTGCAGGAAGCCCATTCAGCCCTGCATGGCCTTTAATGAGTTCTGCAAGCAAGTGGCCTCTTCCGGTGACTCATTCTGCCTTTTGTGCACCGGAGATTGTGGTTTTAAGTTTCACTTTGGAAAGTAACCACTACTTGTACTGCTTTCTCTGCTGCTGGAATCTGAACAAGTTACATTCATTTTGCAACAAAGAAATGTAAATGTAGGAGCGACAGTCATATTTCTGCTCTGATTGTAAAAACATCCTTTTCCGAGATGGATGACAGAGCCAAGCTAAGAAGAAATGGTTTATATTTTCAAGTAATGCATTCATTTGGGAACTTAATATTTTTCCTTCTAGAGTGGCCTGATAGTTTTGTTTTTCTTCTTTGTCTTCTTGATTCATATTTCAGGGATACCCTGAAAATAAACAGCGCTTGTTGATTAAGTGAGGCGGTGAACCTCTGATTTATTGAGAGAGAGACTTGGTGCTGGATGGAAGTTTGTGTTTTTGCTTTCATGCGGTGAACAAAGGATGATGATAATAGAGATCATTTCTGATACAATAAAACAGTTTTCATCTGGGCCTCCCACAGGACTCAATTTTTGGTACCTGAATAGATGCATTTTCTAGGCTTAGAAAGAGTGATCAGTGGACACACGTTATACAGCAAATTTTTTTCCAATTCAAATAATAGTCATCTTCAAAATGTTAGTGTTGAATGACATCATTTTTGTATAGTTTTATTTAGATATGTGCAAGCATAAAGCAGTAGCCCTTGTGCAATAATCAAGCCAAATGCATTTAATTTTAAATCACAAAATTTGAAATTAAGTGTAGATAAAAAGTACAGGGCTAATAAAATTCAAATTAACATGAATGTTATGTGGTGGAAAATGATGTATTGAAGCTTGTGAACTGACGGTGATTTGAGTTTATAACAGAGGTATTTTTTGTGTTTCACTAGCTAACTGGACTCTTGTAACTTTTGAGCACAATGGACCACCACTTAAATCACTATTAATACTGACTTCTAAAAAACACAGTAATGAGAAAGTTCTGATTACATATTTCCATCTACATTGACTGCTAATGAGCTATTGAAGCTTCTTACACCAAAGATGGTGTCCCCGCAGTAAATGGTCCCAAAGGATAAATGTGGCACTGACTGGGGAATGGGAGCTTTTTGAATTTAGCTGGGGACTATACTACCCAGGCTCTGTTGCCCTAGTCTTCTCTCTTTGGAGTGCCGTCAGACCTTTGTGCGCTCGCACATTCTGTGACATCATTTAATGTACTTAAAGCATCAGCACACTTGGGGATCGGGGTTGGGGTCCTCATCAGCCTTCTCTCCTCCAGGATTCTGACTGATGGAGCATGCACTCTAATAATGTGGAGGGTCCTGTAGCCTAAATGTACATCTGCACCCTAGGGAGGTGGCTGGACGATTCTGGTTCTAGAGGGCCAAAGCTATTTGGAAATGTTTAATTATGGTTTTGCTTGCTTTGGGAGCAAGTTGGTGGATGGTCAGGTGAGACCCTTTGCGTGGATTTGGGGGAACCCTGGGATGGGAGATGGTTTTCTCTGGGATTTGGGGAACTGGCCTGGCACCTCTCATTCCCCTTTACAGCAACAAAGGTTGGGGAGTTGAGCAGCCTCCAAATCCTCAAGGTCTGGTCCAATTCCTTCAGCACCTGGAGGGGAGGTGGCGGAATACATCTTACCTGGATGCTTTGGGATGAGTGGGGCCTTGGGTGGAGTCTGGCCCACCTAACCTCCCACGGCCCCACCCCTGCAACACCAGGCTGATGAGATAGTTCCAGACCTGAGGCTTCCCGAGGTGTCCTGGGCACCTGCGGGGAGGAGGAAGAGGACAGTGGCTTGGACTTGGACCCTAGAGGAGGCCGGGCTCCTTGTCTGAGGAGCAGCAGGCCATCGGCATCATCTTACAACAGTGTAAGATCGCCAGTTAATGTATCAAGACAAATTCAGACACAGGCCTAAACTAGGGCTGTCAGTTCACAAAACTTCATGATTTATAGCATGAAAACATGAGCTATAAAAAGGTCAAACCTTAAAATCTAGGATGTCTTGCATGTCTGTAGGACTATCTCACCCATGCACGTGGATGGAACACAGCTTTTTAAAGGCAGTTTACACATAAATGGATATGCTTGTTCATGTGCTCGCTGAAGCACGTCCTCTAAGAAACTTCAGTCCACTGGTGTCCCCGACGACTACATTTGCAATGGTGCACCTTTGAACACCTCTTTCCAGGCTGTGGAGCCCTGGCACCTTTAGTG